AAATGGCTTTAGTAGAAGTTGGTCTTGTCAGTATAGTAGACTGGGCATTTCTAAGGAGAACCGGCGGGAAGGCGTGATACACAGGTTAGCTAGGATATTTTAGTCGCGTAGTGAGACTATGCTTCCTTATGAGACGGAAAGAAATAAATTATAACTTGAGATCTACCCTGGGTGCCAGAGACTTTCATGCGCGGTTTTCGGTCGCTCGTGACTTCGGACTTCGGCCGAAGATTGGTCGGCCTCCGGCCGACACCGAAGCATCCAGCCGCACTTGAGAACAAAACCTCTGGTACCAAGGATACTTGAGATCAGGATCACTGATAGTTTCTCTATTATGTGGCTGCGTTTCGCGCGACCGAGTTATATCAACAACTCAAAATAGAGCCTGATCAAGAGAGGACAATTGGATCTAAGCCTGTGTTCGTTCGTCTCTGGGTGGCCCGCCGCTGACCGGTCTTCCGTTCCTCATTACAGCTGCAACAATCATCCATGACAATAATCATTCTGATACTGTGAAAATGAGATTTCATCAAAATTTGAAAATGGAACCTTCCTGTTCAGTTGATTAACATATCCGGCTGAGTCTATAGAAATTGATGATAGATACAAACGTTATTTCCTTCTTTTGTGTATCTTATAGATATTAGTGTTGCGTGAGGTCTACGTTGACGAATTCCCATGTCGCTAAGGAACAACTTAAAATCTTTTACCTCCCACTCTAAACATTAGAATAAACATTACTTTTCTGAATACAAGTCTTATAGAAAAAAACGAGCGAAAAATGGTAAGAAAAATATTCATACATAGGATAATCATGTAACACAAAATCAGCAGAGTACATGCTTCTGCTTCCTGTAATTATCCAGATTCCTTTCTCTTCGGTGACATTTATCTCGGTTTGTCATTTCCAAGAAATCATCAGACAGCGACTATATTTCTCAGACTCAATAAAGGTAGTCAAGTTTATGCTAATGTTAATTTAGTCCTGCCGAAGACGTTATTATATAGAAGGATTAGGGTTTGGCTCAGCGTTAAGGCATATAAGAAAACTGCTTCCTAACTTGCTTTTTACGTGATATAAAAAAGGTCACGAATTTTTTTTTTTATCTGACTTTCCTGAGTCCTCTTTAGTCAAGACTTATTTCAGCAAGTGTCCCCCGTAAACGAGAAGGCTATAACTATGTAGTCCTCAAATCGACGCGCTTTGCCAATCCCGTAAAATACTTGCGGCGCAAGGTCCAAATCGCTTGATAAATGCTCACAGGCACAAAACAACATAACAAAAGTCTCTTGCATAACATTAATAAAGTAATGACTCGTACAGAGCAAGATCGAGGGTTATTGTCCAGTTACCATCTCTTGTATGGAGATAACATCTAACTTGAAGTAAGGGATATGTTCTGAAAAGCCAAGGGGTGATACTAACCTTGCGAAATGACTGTCAAGGCAGTCTCTGCAAAATCTGTGACCACATTTCGTCAAAATAGGGTCTTTCAGTGGTAGCCTACAAATTACACATTGCAATTCGTCTTCAACTTCACTAACAAAGTCATCATCATATCCGCCGAGCGAAGGAGTTGCTTCACTTAGCCTTAGCATCATAGCTAAGTGGAAAAAATGAAACCTTATGATTAATCAGATCATGTTGCTCAGCCACATTATAATACTGCATTACATGACTTCGTTGTTATTTTTCCGAGAAAGCGAGCCGTGACGCTAGATGGTTGACTTCAATATTAGGCTTATTTAACAACACAACGGAAACGTTAGTTGACGACGGCGCGTGCCAATCAAACAGGTGGCTTGAACAATGGCAGAGCGACAAGTTGGACACTGGAAGTCGCGTCCAGTCCTTTCCGCGCGCTTTCCCGTCGTCAAGTGACGCACCCGTTCTGTTTCTAGATTAGCCGATTAATAAGTAGAGTAAACAAGGTCTCAAATTCCAGGATAGAAAACTTATCAGCATACACAAGTTTTCGACTCCATCGCGGAATCGTTATCAAGTGATAGAGTTGGACTTTTTGTCACGTGATTTATACTGTGAATCACGTGACAAAACGCCCCAGTAGATCGCGGGAAGCTCGTAACCAGCGTCCCTGTTCAATGATGGAGCCCGAAAAAATATTTCGATGACCTCCCTGACTCTTCTCTTAAACATGTCGTCTTCTCTCGTATGGATCAAGGAGGAGGTGATATCCAAGGTTTGTGTAGTGTATTGATTACCATAGAAACAATTATGTCAATATACTAAAATAATAACCAAATGATGCTAAAGTACTACAGAACGATTGACAACTGAGTTGTACTGGTACTGAGTAACAGTAGAGCATTATTTTGTTACTAGGATAGAGATAGTTGTTCAGTTAATAAAAGACTTTGTGTAGTTATATAGCTGGAAATTTTATGGTCGTCCTCCTCAGCCACACTTTCCTGGAAAAAATTGCTTTTGGTAGGTAGTATTTTCATGCTACACGACATTCTACGTATACCCTTTGTAACTAACATTTCGCAGTGAGTTACTTTTTCGTTTAACATGTGGGAATCTCGTTTTAGAGGGCCTGCAAAACTACAGCGATAAGCCATTTAGTGGTGCTGGACCTATGCCGTTAACCTCGGCTCGGAGGTCAGTTTTCAAAATTAAGACTAATGTGAAATATTATCCAAAAGGCGGCTCCTAAGACGAACCAAATTTTCGTTTGCTTTGTTTCGCTCTTGCTGTAGATTTCCTCAAAGTCCGTTTTCCCACAGAAGCACAATAACAGCCTACAATTACTAAACATGCACTTCTATCTGACCAAAGTTACTCTAAAAGGCGGAGACCACGAACGTACCTTCCCCGCCCAAAAGACTTATAACGAGTTCATCCTCTGGAAGTGCGAAACTGACAATCATCAAGTGGACGAAAGATTCGGCTGAGCCAGCTAAGAGGAAGACAGTTTGACTTCACATTGCACTTTAACTCATTTCAAGCTGATAACACAGTGTCAAAGGCCTCCCTTTTCTTTTAACCCCGTTTTTGACACTCTGAGTTACCAGCCAACACACGCCTGGTCGACAAGCCCATTCACTCAAAAGAGATCAAATTTCAGTAGACAAATTGCCTTTTTTGCATCTTTCCCCCGATTTCTTTCTTTTCTTTTGAGCGCAAGCATGTGAATGGCCCAAGATTCCTCAGTTCGTCAGTTTTCATCAGTTCTCATGGCTGGCGCCCAGTCTGATTATATGGGATAGCAAGCTAAGCTGGATGGTCAGTAAGTTAGGATGTCCTTTTGTGCCAAGAGAATTACACATCGATTTGTAGTTAAAACTACGGTTGAGTCCAGGTTAATAGAAAAACGGGGAACTGGTAACTCTCATTAGATTGCAAGCAGTTTCTTATTTGTCTATTCAGTCACAGTAGATCCAGAGTAAGCGCGAGGGACGAGCGGCCAAGCCACGAGGGACTAGGACGGAAGCACTTTTTTCTCTCCCAATCTCTCTTCCTTTTTATATTTTTTTTCACAATTTTTTTTTTCGCTCGCTGCGCGTGGCTCTCAGGAAGGAAGGACGACCGCTCAGATCAAATCAAATCTCGCGTAAATCGAACCAAGAATTAATTTCCATTTGATTTATTGTAACTAATTACCCTCGATAGACTCGAACTCGTGTAAGATTATAGTGCATATGAGTGTCTTATTCATATGCTGAATCTCTCCCTTGGTACTGCGCATTGCGAAGTATCGCTCAGTGTAAAACTCTTTTTTTCCGGACAAACCTCAAAGGTTTGAGTTATCCGCAAGTTAACCTGAGATCAGGCTCAATTTTCGTTTCGCTTTGTAATAACATTCCGGCGGGCAAGGCGGTAGCCGTTAGAGACTGAATGTATTAGAACCGCTAAAATTGGGCCTGATCTCAGATTATCCGCGAGTCAACAACAACTACTACAACAACAACTTTATTACCTAAGTTGAAATTTTACTAATTTACAAAAAAAGACTTCGCTTAAAACAATTAACGGTTATCCAGAAAGACTTGAAATCTACTCAAGCTGATGAGCAACAGAAAATTGAAACAGACAGTATTGTACCGCACGGAGAACGAAAAAAAAAAAAACAATATCACACGAGCAATAAACCTCTTTAGCTTGTATGTTTTGTTTTCCCAATAGAGGTCCCAAGAAAACTTGACCTATTGTCTCTTCATAAATTATGCGCATATTTGCATGATTATGCATAGTGAATAAGATGAAATTTGAAAACACGGTTCCCTAGAGTGTTATCTCTTGACCTGTATTTGGAAAACAAAACATACAAGCTAAAGAGACTGAAATAGTTAACTGGAAAAACGCGTCTCGCAAATCCTCGCGAGTTCGGAGTTAGCCTAAGACTTTTAGTATTGGAGCACAAAATTCTGACAGGCAGAGTTCCTATCTAACTGTCCAATTCGCTAATCGCGTTGAAACCAGGGACCCACGATGATCTTGACCTCGCTTCTTTCCGTCAGATTCAAAGATGTGGAGAAGCTTGAGTAATGCAAACAAACAGGGATTAAAAATTCAAAAGAAAAATTAAATCGATACCCCAGCTTCAGTCTTAGAACATGCGACTCGCTGCGAGAGCTTCAAATAAGACTAAAATTCGTGCAAACTTTCATTATTTGGTGGGAAGATCATTAGCCACCTTCCGATAGTGCTGTCAAACCCCGCTTTACGGACACCCGCTTAATGCGTAGACTACACTTTCTAGGGTCCCCACATTGTCTGTATGAACTGGGTTTGACTGTAGACCACTGTACCCATGAATTTTGCATGTTGGTGTAGACCACGAAACATGCAGGTTGTGTATTATATTATTTTAAGTTTGAGACCATCCGATTAAATCTGATTTTTAAAAAGAGGACCACAGTGAAGACTACAAGAAGATTACTGTCGAACTCTTATGCGTAATAATGTAACAGTGAACCAGTGAGCGAACCGAGTATAAGATTATAAGATTTTGCTTCTCAGGAATTTCAAAGGACAGTCACATTTCGTATTCTACTGAAGTAAAGTGAACCTGAACAAAAATAGTGTCGTCTACAATGTAGCGCCTTTTCTGTAGTTTTTCGTGGGATACAAACTGATGAAAGCCCCACCCAATGTTCTTTTCTTTTACAGGCCTCGCAAAGTTCCTAAGCTTGGGGTCTGAAGTAAGGGACAAAACAATGTTCTCCCTGTTGTGTTCATTTTCTTGCTGATCAATTAACGTAAATGTGAACTTTTTATCAAAAGGCCAGGTTAAAGTGGCATCGTATTCACCTTTAATTATTACCAGATATACTGACAGGTGAGTATTTTCTCCAGAGTCGTGGCCATTCGGATGCATTTCTAGCCTGCATTTATATCCATATCTGTAAAATGAAGAGCTCTCTATGAAGGTTTCCTCTTCACCTTTTGCTTTTCTTAAGACCTCACTAAAACCGTCTATCCTCCATGTAAATGATTCACACTTTTCCTCAGAATAATGTATGTGTTTTTCCAGAGCATTGACCTTTTTCTCAAGCTTTTTCGTGGTCTCTTCGAACTTCTTTTGAGTGTCACTTAATTTCACACAAGCTAAGTCAAGATGAAGTCTCATGGCTGCTTGGAGATGCGATTCAACCTCTCTTCGCTGAATCTGAAGTATAAACATAACAACAAGTTTTTATGATGAGCATGTACTGTACTTGTCATTTATTCACTGTTTTGCTAGATTTAACGGTATAAATGGGGAAACACCCGAAAACTTAAACTATCTTTTATATGTGAGGACAGTGAACGGATTTCCTTAACACGATTTCTTCTTTCATTGGTATTTTACAGAAAAAGCACTGAAAGATTTCGACTTTAATAACTAATTAACAAGTCATATTAACTATGTTAACGCTTACCTGTTTTTCTTAGTATTACCTTAGCTTCGCAGCTCATATGATCAAAGTACGGACAGGAAATTATTGTGAGCAGACAGTCCTTTTCAATGTGGGCTGAAATCTGCAAAAAAGAAATATTCTCTACTCAGCTGGGAATCAGTGCAGCCGTTGAAGATGTTAATGATGTGAAGACCTTCACATTACGCACCAATGAACTTATTGACCGTCTTTACAAACTTGGCTATCACCGCTATTCAGTTCCTTCAACGGGAAATACAGCGAGTTAACAATATCACACGGACAGAAGCACTTACGCCCCATGACACTTCCACACTGGACAAAACAGAACGTGTTCCCTTCGTTATCACCTACAACCCCTCCCTTCGTTCTATCTCATCCATTATTCACAAACACTTTCACATCCTTATTTCATCCCCCCTTTGCTATAACGTCTTTAAAGCTGCACCCATTGTAGCTTTAGACGTAGTAGTAACCTCAGCGATTTTCTAGTTACGACCAAACTTCCCAATCTCACACAACACAACCAGCCCCGGGGCTCATACCCATGCGGAAAAAACTGTCTCACTTGAAAATACATATCTGACGGACAAACGTCATACAAATTCCACTCTACAGGCGAAACCAGACCTATCACTCATAGCATTGACTGTAACTCCAAAAACATGATACAATGCAACCACTGCTCCAAACAGTACATAGGTGAAACCAAATGACGACTCAAAGACCGTTTCAACGAACACCGCAGACCAGTTGACAACCCATCTAATATCTCTAAACCCACCACAGTCTCAGAACACTTACTAATGATCACTCTGCTAACGACAGCACACTTATCCCACTAGAGCTCATTAAATCTAATAGATACAGTAAACGATCGAAAAGCTAGATAAGCATACCTAATCGAGAGAGGTAATACTCTTGAACCATTAGGTATGAATTAGAAAGATGAAATGTAATACATTCTTTATTTCTTCTATTTGTTATCATTTATTTAAACTTTTTTTTACATTTCAAATTTCTTTCAAATCCCTACTTCAACGGTTTTCGTTTTCACATACTGATAACGTTCACTTTTTATATTTTCACGTGTTATTATAGTGTATGTCATATTGCACGCTATTCTTTATTTCAAATTGTAACGTCTTAGCCTAGCCTTTTCATTATATGTAAGACCCTGAAGAAGGAAGGCCGTGTCTTCCAAAATATTGGTAAAATATTTATATTCCCGTCTGTAAAATCAGCCTTGCTTCTTTTTCTTTATATTTTCTCTTATTGCTAATTAGATCCTTTATTAGGATCCCGTCCTTCTTTTTTGTAAGCTGGTCCTTGCTTCAAAAATTGAATTTGCAGCAGTTGAAGACTGTTTACTCGAAAATTAGCTGTTTAAACAGAATGTATCCGCGTCAGCCGTATAGTGCCAACATGGTTTGGAGAAGAAGGGAATGCACGTAATGTACTGCTTTCAACCTTGATCTTCGCCCTGTCATCATACATGTCGGCTGTGTTATGTTGAGCACAAGCCGAAGATAAATCTGAGCCCCAAGATGAATGAAGAGAACAAAAAAATTGAGAAAACTAGGGAAGGGCACTTTTTTTTTCTCGAGTGCCTTGCTCGCCTAGCTGAGGGGGAGGCGACGTCGTTTCCTTCAACCTGTTCCAGAGAACGGTGGGAGAATGGGGAGAGAACGGAGATCAGTGTAACAGTTACAAAAGGAGTTGCTACGAAGGAGGCTATGCAAACACTTTTCTACTTGTATGGTCGACTTTCTTTATAATTTTCTCTACTTCTCATTCTGGAAGGAAGGAATGATGCTGCAATTAAAGCTGTTCGTGTGTAGGAGTTTATCAAGTGAAACTACCATTTTCAAAAATTTGTTTTATTAAAGAGACGGTACACGTTCTAATTATTTATCCCTTTAAATTCATGACAATAGCCAGTTTTTTTTCGTTGGTGAATATTCAGCGTTTTTACGGGTGTAAACTCCAGGGAACCTTCTTTTTTTAATCTGCATGTTTTATTACGTAACTTACGGAAAAATTAATACAACAAGTGGACGAAATATAAAAAAAAGTATTTGTTTTTCAGCTAACACAAGCTGTATAAAAGAATCGTAAGGCAGGTGTTGATTTGGTACAGACGTTTCCTTAAGGCCTTGTTTTATAAAAGTTATAATTAGTTGGCTATTGTTTCAATGCGCTTCAAACTGTAAATCTAGTATTAATACCTTTTCTCTCGGAATGACAGCTCCACAGTTTTGAGAACAGTTCAACGGGAATTTCTTACATTCGGCATGATGAGCCTAGAAAATAAAACCATTGAAATTACAGCGAAACCTGAGTTCAGAGGTCACCGCTAGTAGAGCTCGTAAGGCCAACGAACTGCGTACTAAACTAAATACAGGTGAAGACAATGAAAATAACGCTATATGGAAGGTTGGTAAGTGACCCATTAATGCAGTTTACCATTTATTGCAGTTGACGCTGTTGCTGTTCCTGCTGGCTTGGTTTTGAAACAGCAGAATTCACCTAAATTCATAGTTTTATTGCCGATCCCAACGGTATGTTAATGATAGACTGCTCTACAAGCTCGCAAAAGTAGGGCAATTAATCAAGATTCTTACCTTAGTTTTACATTCCGGATGTGATTCACTGCAGTGAGCGCAACGAAGAATCCTCCATACACACGTGGTAGTCACGTGTTTCTGTAGCTTGTCCCTTGCCATTGTCTCCGAGCAGTTTTTGTTCGTGCAGGCCACAATTTTACGGGGACATGACGTTAAGTGGTCCTTTTTTTGAAAAGAAAATTATAGGTTAGTGTTCATGTGTTGACAGTTTAGTTCTTGGACACGGCAGGAAACTATCATGTCTATCATCATGCCCAAGTAAGTTGTTTGTTTGTTAGCTATTGTAACCAATTATATTTAAATACCATTAACTTACCCTATTGACTATGCTATTCTATGCTACACTCTCCCGGACTCAGTCATATTCAACCTACTTATTTGTAACTGTGGACGTGCTCCGACAGTGTGAAGTGGGAGTGGTGAGAACTCGCATAATAGACTTACACCTTCCTCACATGAGTTTCGTACTAGCTTTATCTCTTACTATTTCACTCTTCCCTTCTTCTCTTTGTCTTGCTTAGTTTCACTGACTTCTCTTTCTCCGACCCTCTTTTCCTTTTCTGTCACCCGCCTCTACTTTCTCTCTCCGTTTTTCTTTCTCTGTCCTCTCCAGCTCCTTTCTCCGATTAATCACAGATTTTCTCTACCTTAATACTCTATCCCTTTTAGCTTATGTGATTATAAAAGATTTGCGCATTAACATGCAATTAACTCTAAAGGTAAAAATCAATCATAAAAGAAAACCAATGTCAAGTTGAGGACAAGATGCTGATGTCAGCAATAAAGTGCTGATTTAGCTGATTCAAGAAAGATAAATTGTCAGCTTATAAAATATCAGCTGCCCATCTCCCATCACTATAGTAAAAGATAGTTGATCAAAGGATGGTTTTTATCTTATCAGTTTTCATGTTTAAGTCATTTGACAGTTTCTAGAACTGATGCATTTTCCTCTGTAACATGTATATCATAAGTTGAAAGTATTCTTCTGTAGTTAAATACAACAACTGATAATACACAAGTCCTGAAGGCGTGACTTCCTATTCATTTTCTTACATGAGGTTTACCGGTAAATCACGGTGCTGGAAACAACATAGAGTTGCGCCACTTACAGTTTTTGACCTCAATTCACCAGTCCACTGGCAACTGTTGCTAGGACACTTGATGATGAAGGAAAGTATCTTTCTTTCGGTTGCCTTGTCAGGGAAAATGTCCTAAAAAGTAAAAAGTTGAATTAATCTTCGTCCATTTATTTGTTTGTTTGCTCACATAAATATACTACGTGCTTAGTTTCTTAACCCATTCACCCTCTGGGAGATTTTGTGTAGTCAAGCAAATTTTATGGTCGGCATCTGACCAAAGAGGAGCGAAGCTACCAAAAACCCTATCTACAAATCGAGCACTGCACTTCTAACACTTGCTCCTGACGTCAAATAACAGGATTTCAATCCTTCTCTTTCCTCTTTATATATACAAGCTTCATTTCAAAGGGAAAGGCTTTTGCGACTCGCCGACTGTCAAATTCCATGAATCTTTACGCAATTTACGCATGCGCATTACGCATCTTCTTGCCATGTGCTTGCGGACATGTTGATTAAATTGTGTTGAGTTCTCCGTGATTCTGCGTCTATTTTGATATACAAATTCTCGGTACACTACACCGACGATGGAAGGTAGTTGAAAGGATGTTCATTCGGATATTCCAGTCATAGTTACATTGGACTGATTCTTTTCATTTTCTCTGGCCTTTTCCACTGAATAACACACATTTGGGTGTTGTTTGAAAGATCTCTTACCTGCGCAATTTGGGGGTGCGTATCTTTATCAGATATAAATTAAACATTCATTAAACATTAAACATTCATTTCTGTTTTTTTCTTTATGAATTATTAATGAGCTTTTGAAGGCTAAATGAAGCGGCTTTTGCATTATTCCCCTATAAATAAAGATGACGACTTTTGCGACAAGGTTAAGTGGGGTGAGTCACCATTAATGGAAAGGGAGAAAGGAATAACCTATAATTGTTTAAAAGGCTAAATTTTCCTAGGTCCGCAATTGGCAAAACAGCATGCAAATTATACTGACAAGGAGCAGTGGAGAATATGTAATGGCTTTTTAGACTCTAAGCAGATTCTGAGCAGACAATGGATGAATGGAATGGTGTTAGAATAAAAAAATGCAAAGAGACTCGCAAAAAAAAACTAGTTACAATCATCAGAAAAACTCTTTTTAACCTAGGGGCTAAAATTTGGAACAGTATCCCTGAGAATTTGAGAAAACTCTTAAAGCGTGCTTTTAAGAACCAAATACACAATCTATTACTACTCGATCTTCAATGTTCAAAGTCAGGATAGTTATGCTGATTTAGAAAGCTTTAATATTAATGAATAAAAAAAAGAAAATGTTAATCCAATGTATTGTAACTTTTATTTATTTACTTCTTTACAGACTTATTCATTAGTATTATCATTCTTAAGTTACCTCTTTTCCTTCATGTCGTAAATCTCTTAAATTTCCCTTGTTATGTTGTCTTAAAATGTATCAGTTCACGTATGTAGCGACCCCACACAGCCTGCCTCAAATAGCTTTTGATAAATGTAAGTAGCAGCCCCCCCTCTCCCCCCGGTAAATAGTGTGTATGTTTTATATATGTTTTATGTGAGTTGTTGATGTAAATATTAGAAATCCACATGAAAAAATCATTCCTCCCTCTTTCTTCGCAGAAATGAATTGTCTATAAAATAAATACTATCCTGCCCTACAGATACGCACTAAAGTAATAGGTCTAATAGAGTTTGTCTAATGGTCGTGGGTCGTGGGTCGTGGGTACAAGTCGTGGGTCGTGGGTGTGGTGTGGGTAGTGACTAAAAATTAATTTTTAATCATTATTAAATAACAATGTTACTAATTTTTGGTCAAGATTAATAATTTACAATATTACAAGTTTTGGATTTTTTTAAAGTACTCGATAACATAACATAACATGATGTATGAAAATTATACAACACTTCCCCTACTCTGTTACTTTACCAGAGATCATCGACCGCCAGCGCAGGGGGGTGGCGGTGGGTACAGGAGCAATCGAAAAGAAAGAGAAATAACGTTGAACTAACTTTTGTCTTCAAATATAAAGTTGACATAGGAAAGCTGTCAAACTTTGTCTCCACCATAAACCGGTCAAAAACGCTTTCAAAGTATCGTGCGAAAGCTAAACTTATTTCACTAACGACGGAAGAACGTCACTAAAAAGCGCGAACAACAATGAGAATGGAGTGTCTACGTACCGGGGAAGTTTACTCATATTGTAAGTTATACGAAGAGGCTAGCTCTTCCCTTAAATATCCGAAAAAGTGAAGAAATTCAAATTCTGCCGTGTCTGGTCTTTTCCAGAAAACAAATAAATCATTTCAAAAAATTGAAACTTTTTTAAGGAAATAATTTATTTTGATTCGCTTTATTTTTGATTCCCGTAACAGCTAGGAAACGACTGGGAAGAAGGATTTTGAAATTGTTATAGATTGGTGGTTTTGGCTTTGTCAAAACACTTAAAATTTGGGACACATCCCCCTTTTGTGTTTCTTGTCTTTTGGCACCCGCGTCAGGTTTCTTCTCGGTTATACAGAGTTCAGCGTCATCTCAAAGGTCATTTGCGGCCTCTCCTCTCTTGCTTTACCCTCCCAACCCTTCCCGGGTTTTATTTTATAGCTGTAGTTTTCTCTTTTGTGTCTACTAATTGGGATCAATTCAAAGGTAAGCATCGTAGCTCATCGTATTGCTTATTCAGATAAATAATGATTGACTACTCTTATATGGAACTGATCCCGGCTTCCTTAATTTTCCGATTTGCTCTTTTTAGCATTAAGTTAACTTATGTGCGTGTTGTTCAAGCGTTTGACCAAACAAATTTTCTCAAAATATTATCAAGAGATTACACCAGTCCTGGAAATAGCTCCAATGGGTTCCTGCCTTTACCTAACCCCACCCATTTTCATACATTGTGTTATGTTTGTTTTACGTTATTAGTTATCGAGTAGTTTAACAAAAATTATTGATGATTAAAAATTAATTATTGATGATTAAAAATTAATTTTTAATCATTACCCACACCCACGACCCACTACTTGTACCCACGACCCACGACCCACGACCATTAGACAAACTCGGTCTAACAGCAGTGTCAGGTCAGCTTTGGCTAATTACAAATTTTAGTATTAGTCAGTGAGTAGAATATACTAAAAGAGTAAGCAGGCTCAGGAACCGCTCCTGGCCAGCCTGGTGAGACGACCGGCAGTGTAAGAGATCACCTACTTTATCTTGTATTAGGATGTTCCACTCTACAGGACAATTTAACGGTTCTCTGAGGACCTCCAACCTATCGAAATGAAAAGGAGAGAATATATTGACGGTATATTGAAAACAAGCATGAAACCTTGCAGGACTGCAGTAAGACTTCAGTAAGGGATGTTGTCCATGGTGTACAGGCTGAACTTCGATTGAGAGAGAAACAGACTGGCTCCACTGCTGGCCGGTATTATGAATTTAAACTTTACGTTTCTACCAAAACAAGGACATAATTATGTGGAGTGGAACTTCGATATATAACGAAGGGCCAAGGGTGTGAAAAAATTTGTTCGCTTTAACGAGGTTTCGTTTTATGGAGGTTCTTTTTCATATATTTTGCCATTACTGAGGCAAAAAGTATCGTTCGTTATATCGAGGACTAGGCTATATAGAGGTTTGTTATATCGAGGTTCCACTGTAAAATCATTGCACTCCATTTCAACTCATCATCAGCCGGTAGTAGTCAAACTTTCTTCAATTTACAAATCGTGACAACAGGGTCAAAAGTTCGTTTTTAGACCTTTTTTCCTTAGAAGACTCTCATAAGTATACACCGTGCATGTCTACCGTGGGGAACGCGAAAAACAATCGCGTCGGACTGAGTGAAAACAAAATGCCAACAAGTTACACTATAAGGACTCGTGCTTTGAAAAAACGCCTTGTGTAGCAACTAAAAAAAGAAAACAACCTATGATGTTTCAGTTGACCACTGGTTAGTCAGTTAGCAACCTAGTTAGGCTCGATTTCCGCCGTCTCCCGGGTCCGGTCTTTGATCCTCCCCGGGGGATGAGTGCGGGCTCATTTTCCCGAACAGAGGCTGGTAATCGAGCCTACAACCTAGTAAACAATCAGCACAATTAACATGAAGCAGAACTCGCCGCTCAGGCTCGATTCTGAGAATTGAGCCACCTTTGTTTTATAATCACATCGATTTGTAGTTAAAACTACAGTTGACTCCAGGTTAATAGAAAAACGGGGAATTGGTAACTCTCATTAGATTGCGAACAGTCTCTTATTTTTCTTTTCAGTCACAGTAGCTCGAGAGTAAGCGCGAGGGACGAGCAGCTAAGCCACGAGGAACTAGGGCGGAAGTCCTTTTTTCTCTCCTAATCTCTGTTCCTTTTTCTATTTTTTTTTTTTCGCAATTTGTTTTTTGCTCGCTGCGCGTGGCTCTCAGGAAAGAACGACGACCGCTCAGGTCAAATCAAATCTCGCGTAAATCGAACCAATAATTAATTTCCATTCCATTTATTGTAACTAATTACCCTCGATAACTCGAACTGGTGTAAGAATATTATAGTGCATTTGAGTGTCTTATTCATATGCTTAATCTCTCCCTCGGTGCTGCGCATTACGAAGTATCGCTCCGTGTAAAACTCTTTTTTTCCGGACAAACCTCAAAGGTTTGAGTTATCCGCAAGTCAACAACAACAACTACAACAACAACTTCATTACCTAAGTTGAACTTTTACTAATTAATCTACACCAAAAATTAAAGCGACACTTCACTTAAAACGATTACAGTGAAACCTGTATTAAGCGGACACCGTATTAGGCGGACACCCTCTATTAAGCGGACAGTAGCCGAAGTCCCCAAATTTATTTCCCTTATTTACTTTAAATGAAACCTTTATTAAGCGGACACCTCTATTAAGCGGACGCGGACACCTACAAAGTACCTTAAAAGGGCCATTTCTATTGTTGCCAACCTGTATTAAACGGACACTTGTAATTAAATTCCACCACCCAACACGCCAGACACCGGAAATGCGAAAGATTGCCTCGAATTGCCACCCACAAATTTTTCGATTTTAATCATTAAAAAACGTGACTTGACGAACTTATTTGATTAGTTTCACAGTACAGGATTGTTTTCTATTTCGTTTTGTTTGTATAGAGCTTGTTTCACTCATCTGATTTCTTCAAATTTGATTTCCAATCCATGTTTATGGTACTATGATCAATTGGTTCAATTTTAATTAATTCAATTAATGCAAACGTCTATCGTCATAGTCTCTGGGAGTATTCTTAACATTTCCACTGTTCATTTGAATGGCATTTGACACCTCATATGACGTTATATATCGAAACCTGTATTAGGCGGACACCCTGTATTAAGCGGACACTACAGCATTCCCCGAGGGTGTCCGCTTAATACAGGTTTGACTGTAATGGTTACCCAGAAAGACTTAAAAGCTAATCAAGCTGATGAGCAACAGAAAATTGAAACAGAAAGTATTGTACCGTACGGAGAACGGAAAAAAAAAACAATATCACAAGAGCAATAAACCTCTTTAGCTTGTATGTTTTGTTTTCCCAATAGAGGTCCCAGGAGAACTTGACCCATTGTCTCTTCATAAATTATGCGTATATTTGCTGATTATGCGCGTGAATGAAATGAAATTTGAAAAGAAACCGTTCCCTAGAGTATTATCTCTTGACCTGTGTTGGAAAAACAAAACATACAAGCTAAAGAGGTCTATTGAGATTATGTTCGAATCCAACTCAAATCAAATCAAATCAAAAACTTTATTTCACTTCGAATTTCAAAAGATAGCATCAACTGATGCTAATATCTCCGAAGGAAAAGCAAAAACAAATAGAAAATAAATGACAAAGGTAATTAGAATAAAGTAACACTATATATTATGTACAAGTTTATGATAATGTAGAAACAAGAAAATTATTATATACATTGCGACTACAGGGACTAGTGATAATTAAAACTAAATACAAATGGAGCAGCATTTATTATCAAAGCTAATGCTCTTAATTTTTGATTTGAAAACATGTAATGATTCAGCAGTTTTAAGTACCTCTGGGAGCATATTCCAATATTTGCTGGCAGAGTAGCGAAAGGAGTGCAAACCATATTTGGTCGATTGAACTGACAAAGAAAAGTATTACAAAAAAATACAAGTATGAACACTAATAGATAACAACTTCACTGAAATGAACTAACTTTGACTGATGATACGTCCACAAGGTATTGCCCATAATTTTGATTTGAAATCTTTTTTTTAATGTAGAGTACTTCAGTGCTGTCGTCTAAATCATTGAAAACTTTAGAGGCTGCAAAACGTACGTTCGTTAAACAGCCGACCCCTTTCAGCCTGCGAACACAGCCGTCTCTCCCCGTTCCGCAAGTTCACCGGGGAGAGACATGTCCTTCTCACGTCTCTTCCGCTAGACACCCATAGCGGCGAGAAGTGAGACGAGATGACTGTATTCGCACTGCAGGGTACGTCTTTTTAACTTTTCCAGTGGGGGTTGGGTGGGGTTGGGGGCGAGACTGAATAGTTAACTGGAAAAACGCGTCTCGCAAACCCTCGCGAGTTCGGGGTGAGTCCCAGACTTTTAGTATTTGAGCACAAAACTCTGTCAGGCAGAGTTCTTATCCAACGGTCAAATACGCTTATCGCGTTGAAACCCGGGACCCGCGATGATCATGCGTAATCAGAGAATTGAAGCTAGGCTTCTTTCTTTCAGATTCAAAGATGTGGAGAAGCTTACGTTATGCAAACAAACAGGGATTAAAAATTAAAAACAAAAATTAAATCGATACCCCGAACCAGCTTCGTAAAAAAATCGAGACTAGGAACCTGCGACTCGCTGCGAGCGCTTCAATTAAGACTAGAATATTCGTGCAGACTTTCATTGGTGGAAAGATCATTAGCCATCTCCAATAGTACTGTCAAATCCCGCTTAACGGACACCCGCTTAATACGTAGACTACACTTTCTATGGCCCCCGCAGTGTCCGTATGAACTGAGTTTGACTGTAGACCACTGTACTCATGAATTTTGCATTTTGATGTAGTTCACGAAACATGCAGGCTGCGTATTATACTATTTTAAATTTGAGACCATCCGATTAAATCTGATTTTTAAAAAGAGGACCATAGTGAAGACGACAAGAAGATATACTGTCGAACTCTTATGCATAATAATGTAACAGTGAACCAGTGAGCGAACCGAGTATAAGATTATAACATTTTGCTTCTCAGGAATTTCAAAGGACAGTCACATTTAGTATCCTACTGAAGTAATGTGAACCTGAACAAAAATAGTGTCGTCTACAATGTAGCGCCTTTTCTGCAGTTCTTCGTGGGATACAAACTGAGGATAGCCCCTCCCAATGTTCTCTTTTTTTACAGGCCTCGCATAGTTGCTAAGCTTGGGGTCTGAAGTAAGGGACATAACAATGTTCTCCTTGTTGTGTTCAGTTTCTTGTTGATCAATTAACGTAAATGTGAACTTTTTATTAAAAGGCCAGGTTAAAGTGGCATCGTATTCACCTTTCATTATTACCAAAAATACTGACAGGTGAGTGTTTTCTCCAGCGTGAATACCATTCGGATTTATATTTATCTTGCATTTATATCCATATCTGTAAAATGGAGAGCTTTCTAATATGGTTTCCTCTCCACTTTTTGCTTTTCTTAAGACCTCACTAAACCCATCTATCCTCCACGTAAATGATTCACACCCTTCCTCAAAATAATGTAATCGTTTTTCTAGAGCATTGACCCTTTTCTCAAGCTTTTTTGTGGTCTCTTCCAACTTCTTTTGTGTGTCGCCTAATTTCACACAAGCTAAGTCAAGATGAAGTCTCATGGCTGCTTGAAGATGCGATTCAACCTCTCTTCGCTGAATCTGAAGTATAAACATAACAAGTTTTTATGATGAGCAAGTACTTGTCATTTACACGCTGTTTTGCTAGATTTAACGGTATATATCGGGAAACACCCGAAAACTTAAACTATCGTTTATATGTGAAGACAGTGAACGGATTTCCTTAAAGCACGAATTCTTCTTTCATTGGTATTTTACAGAAAAACCTCTTAAAGATTTCGATTTTAATAACTAATGAACAAGTCATATTAATTAACTAAAAATGTTAACGCTTACTTGTTTCTCTTAGTATTACCTTAGCTTCGCAGCCCATATGATCAAAGTACGGACAGGAAATTATTGTGAGTGGACAGTCCTTTTCAATGTGGGCTGAAATCTGCAAAAAAGAGATATTGTCTACTCAGCTGGGAATCAGTGCAGCCGTTGAAGATGTTGATGGTGTGAAGACCTTCACACTAGGCACCAATGAACTTATTTACTATCTTTAGAAACGTGGCTATAACCGCTATTTCCTTCAAAGGGGAAATACAGCGAGTTAACAATATCACACGGACAGAAGCCATGATTTACGCATCATGACACTCCCACACTGGACAAAACAGAATGTGTTCCCTTCGTTATCACCTACAACCCCTCCCTTCGTTCCATCTCATCCATTATTCACAAACACTTTCACATCCTTATTTCATCCCCCGTTGCTATAACGTCTATAAAGCTGCACCCATTGTAGCTTATAGACGTAGTAGTAACCTCAGCGATTTTATAGTTAGGGCCAAAGATCGCAATTTCACACAACACAACCAGCCCCGGGGCTCATGCCCATGCGGAAAAAACTGTCTCACTTGTAAATACATATCTGACGGACAAACTTCATACAAATTCCACTCTTCAGGCGAAACCAGACCTATCACTCATAGCATTGACTGTAACTCCAAAAACATGATACAATGCAACCACTGCTCCAAACAGTACATAGGTGAAACCAAACAACGACTCAAAGACCGTTTCAACGAACACCGCAGACCAGTTGACAACCCATCAAATATCTCTAAACCCACCACAGCCTCAGATCACTTACTAATGATCACTCTGCTAACGACATCACACTTATCCCACTAGAGCTCATTAAATCTAATAGATACAGTAAACGAACAGCTAGAGAAGTATACCTCATCGAGAGAGGGAATACTATTGAACCATTAGGTATGAATAAGAAAGATGAAATGTAATACATTCTTTATTTCTTCTATTTGTAATCATTTATTTTAACTTTTTTTACATTTCAAATTTCTTTCAAATCACTACTTCAACGGTTCTCGTTTTCACCTACTGTTAACGTTCACCTTTTAAATTTTCATGTGTTATTATAGTATCATATTGCACTCTATTCTTCATTTCAAATTGTAACGTCTTAGCCTAGCCTCTTCATTATATGTACGACCCTGAAGAAGGAAGGTCGTGCCTTCCAAAATATTGGTAAAATATATAATTATATATATTCCCGACTGTAAAATCAGCCTTGCTTTTTTTGTTTTATATTTTCACTTATTCCTGATTAGATCCTTTATTAGGATCCGGTCCTTCTTTTTTGTAAGCTGGTCCTTGCTTCAAACATTGAATTTGCAGCCGTTGAAGACTGTTTACTCGAAAATTAGCTGTTTAAACAGAATGTATCCGCGTCAGCCGTATAGCGCCAACATGGTTTGCAGAAGAAGGGAATGCACCTGTTGCACTGCTTTCCACCTTCATCTTCCCCCTCTCATCATACATGTCGGCTGTGTCGACATGTTAAGGACAAGCCGAAGATAAACTCTGAGCCCCAGGATGAATGAAGAGAAAAGAAATTGAGGAGGGAAACTAGGGAAGGGCGCTTTTTTTGCCAAGTCTCTTGAGTAACCCAGTTTTTTTTCTCGTGTGCCTTGCTCGCCTAGCTGAGGGGGAGGCGACGTCTTTCCCTTTAACCTGTTTCAGAGAACGGTGGGAGAATGGGAAGAGAACGGAGATCAGTGTAACAGTTACAAAAGGAGTTGCCTGCGAAGGAGGCTATGCAAGCACTTTTCTACTTGTATGGTCGACTTTCTTTATAATTTTCACTCCTTCTCATTCTGGGAGGAAGGAATGATATATGCTGCAATTAAAGCTGTGCGTGTGTAGGAGTTTATCAAGGAAACTCTCATTTTCAAAAATTTGTTTTATTTAAGAGACGGCACACGTTCAAATTATTTATCCCCTTAAATTCATGACAAAAGCCAAATTAAGTTTTGTTTCGTTAGTGATTATTCAGCGTTTTTAAGAGTGTAAACTCCGGGGAACCTTCTTTTTTTAATCTGCATATTTTATTATGTATCTTACGGAAAAATCACTACAACAAGTGGACGAAATATAAAGAAAAATTAATTATTTTTCAGCTAACATAAGCTGTATAAATGAATCGTAAGGCAGGTGTTGATTTGGTACAGACGTTTTCTTAAGGCCTTGTTTGTTAAGTTATTTGGCTATTGTTTTCATGCGCTTAATACTGTAAATCTAGTATTAATACCTTTTCTCTCGGAATGACAGCTCCACAGTTTTGAGAACAGTTCAATGGGAATTTCTTACATTCGGCATGATGAGCCTAGAGAATAAAATCATTGCTAAAATCACTGTTTACATGGAGGTGGGGGACCCCAGGTAGGTGAGGTAACCCGCTCTGGTAGGTAACCCGCCTGTCCACATAATCTCTCATTTTAATTTGATCGCGTTTACATGATAGGTGGGGTGACCTGCCTCATGTTACTCACCTATCTGGGGTCCCCCACCTCCATGTAAACAGGCCCTTAAGAGGTCACCCCTGGTAGAGCTGGTAAGGCCAACTGACCGCTCACTAAACTAAATACAGGTGAAGACAATGAAAATAACGCTATATGGAGGGTTGGTAAGTGACCCATTAATGCAGGTTACCGTTTATTGCAGTTGCGCTGTTGCTGTTCCTGCTGGCTTGGTTTTAAAACAGCAGAATTCACCTTATTGCCGATCCCAACGGTATGTTAATGATAGATTCCCCTACAAGCAAAGCAAAATCAGGGCAATTAATCAAAATTCTTACCTCAGTTTTACACTCCGGATGTGATTCACTGCAGTGAGTGCAACGAAGAATCCTCCATGGACACGTGGTGGTCACGTGTTTCTGTAGCTTGTCCCTTGTCATCGTCTCAGAGCAGTTTTTGTTCGTGCAGGGCACAATTTTACGGGGACATGACGTTAAGTGGTCCTTTTTTTGAAAAGAAAATTATAGGTTAGTGTTCATGTGTTGACAGTTTAGTTCTTGGACACGGCAGAAAACTATCATGTCTATCATCATGCCCAAGTAAGTTGTTTGTTGTTAGCTATTGTAACCAATTATATTTAAATACCATTAACTTACCCTACTGACTATGCTATTCTAATGTATGCTACACTCTCCCGGACTCAGTCGTATTCAACCTACTTATTTGTAACGGGGGACGTGCTCCGACAGTGTGAAGTGGGAGTGATGAGAACTCGCAGAAGGACAAAGACAAATAATTCAGAAGTAATAGACTTACACCTTCCTTACATTAATTTCGTACTAGCTTTATCTCTTACTTCTTAACTCTTTCCTTCTCTTTTCTTCTCTTCTTCTCTTCGTCTTGCTTAGTTTCACTGACTTCTCTTTCCCCGACTCTCTTTTCCTTTTCTTTCACCCGCCTTTACTTTCTCTCTCCGTTTTTCTTTCTCCGTCCTCTCCAGCTCCTTTCTCCGATTAATCACAGAATTTCTCTACCTTTATACTCCACCCCTTTTAGCTTATGTGATTATATAAGATTTGCTCATTAACTTGCAATTAACTCTAAAGGTAAAAATCAATCATAAACGAAAACCAATGTCAAGTTGAGGACAAGATGTCCGAGCAATAAAGTGCTGATTTAGCTGATTCAAGAAAGATAAACTGTCAATTTATAAAATATCAGCTCCCCATCTCTCATCATAGTAAAAACTAGTTGATCAAAAGGATGGTTTTTCCTTATCAGTTTGCATATTTGAGTCATTTGACAGTTTCTAGAACCTAACAAGTTTATGCACGAAATGATGCATTTTCCTCTCTAACATCTATATCTTAAGTTGAAAGTATTATTCTATAGTTAAATACAACAACTGATCATACACAAGTCTTGAAGGCGTGACTTCTGCACGTGTTACACTGTGACAGACCAACAATTCTATTCATTTTCTTACATGAGGTTTACCGGTAAATCACGGTGGTAAGAACAACATAGAGTTGCGCCACTTACAGTTTTTGACCTCAATTCACCAGTCCACTGGCAACCGTTGCTAGGACACTTGATGATGAAGGAAAGTATCTTTCTTTCGGTTGCCTTGTCAGGGAAAATGTCCTAAAAAGTAAAGAGTTAAACTAACCTTTGTCCATTTATTTGTTTGTTTGCTCACATAAATATACTACGTGCTTGGTTTTTTAACCCATTCACCCTCTGGGAGATTTTGTGTAGTCAAGCAAATTTTATGGTCGGCATCTGACCAAAGAGGAGCGAAGCTACCAAAAACCCTATCTACAAATCGAGCACTGCACTTCTAACACTTGCTCCTGACGCCAAATAACAGGATTTCCATTCTCCTCTTTCCTCATTATACAAACAGGTTTCATTTCAAAGGGAAAGGCTTCCCCGACTGTCATATCCCATGAATCTTTACGCACTTCACGCATGCACATTGCGCATCTTCTTGCCATGTGCTTGCGGACATGTTGTTTAAATTGCGTTGAGTTCTCAGCCGTGATTCTGCGTCTAGTTTGATATACAAATTCCCGATACACTACACCGACGATGGAAGGTAGTTGAAAGGATGTTCATTCGGATATTCCAGTCAGAGTTACATTGGACTGATTCTTTGCATTTTCTCTGGCCTTTTCCACTGAATAACACACATTTGGGTGTGGTTTGAAAGATCTCTTACCTGCACAATTTGGGGGTGCGTATCTTTATCAGATATAAATTAAGTAATGATCCAGGTAAGAAGGGAAGCAATTTCTTTTGTTGTGGCGCAATACGCTTTCCTCACATAGAAATGTTTTCATTTTTACGCAGTGAGTGCATAAATTTACAAAAAGGCTGTTTACGAAAGAAAATGTATTTAAACTCCACTTTAAAGGGTGTATTTTTGTGTTAAAACATTTCGACCAATCACAAGAGCTGCAAACAATGGCCAAGAAATGTTCACAATTTTACATGATCCGCACATACGATTTCTGTGTTACTTAGACTCGGACGAGATTTTGTTATAAGGAAGGTGGATAGAAAAAAAGGGATTAATGTACACGCTGCTTTGCGAAGATTTGGTAAAATTTGATGTTTAAACCAATCAGAACCTTAGTAGAGACAATAGTAAAGTTAGCACCTTTTTGCATTCCGACGTGTTCACTGCGTTTTGGTCCTTTCCTTCTTATCTGGACCATTACTTAAACATTCATTAAACATTAAACATTCATTTCTTCTGTTTTTTTCTTTATGAATTATTAATGAGCTTTTGAAGGCTAAATGAAGCGGCTTTTACATTATTCGCCTATAAATAAAGATGACGACTTTTGCGACAAGGTTAAGTGGGGTGAGTCACCATCAATGAAAATAACCTATAATTGTTTAAAAGGCTAAATTTTCCTAGGTCCGCAATTGGCAAAACATCATGCAAATTATACTGACAAGGAGCAGTGGAGAATATGTAATGGCTTTTTAGACTCTAAGCAGATCCTGAACAGACAATGGATGAATGGAATGGTGTTAAAATAAAAAAATGCAAAGAGACTCGCAAAAAAAACCAGTTGCAATCATCAGAAAAACTCTTTTTAACCTAGGGGCTAAAATTTGGAACAGTATCTCTGAGAATTTGAGAAAACTCTTAGAGCGTGCTTTTAAGAAACAAATACACAATCTATTACTACTCGATCTTCAATGTTCAAAGTCAGGATAGTTATGCTGATTTAGAAAGCTTTTATATTAATGAATGAAAAAAAGAAAATGTTAATCCAATGTATTGTAACTTTTATTTATTTACTTCTTTACAGACTTATTCATTAGTATTATCATTCTTAAGTTACCTCTTTTCCTTCGTGTCGTAAATCTCTTAAATTTCCCTTGTTATGTTGTCTTAAAATGTATCAGTTCACGTATGTAGCGACCCCACACAGCCTGCCTCAAATAGCTTTTGATAAATGTAAGTAGCAGCACCCCCCCCCTCGCCCCCCGGTAAATAGTGTGTATGTTTTATGTATGTTTTATGTAAGTTGTTGATGTAAATATTAGAAATCCACATGAAAAAATCATTCCTCCCTCTTTCTTCGCAGAAATGAATTGTCTATAAAATAAATACTATCCTGCCCTACAGATACGCACTAAACTAATAGGTCTAATAAAGTTTGTCTAATGGTCGTGGGTCGTGGGTGTGGTGTGGGTAGTGACTAAAAATTAATTTTTAATCATTATTAAATAACAATGTTACTAATTTTTGGTCAAAATTAATAATTTACAATATTACAAGTTTTGGATTTTTTTAAAGTACTCGATAACATAACATAACACGATGTATGAAAATTATACAACACTTCCCCTACTCTGTTACTTTACCAGAGATCATCGACCGCCAGCGCAGGGGGGTGGCGGTGGGTACAGGAGCAATCGAAAAGAAAGAGAAATTACGTTGAACTAACTTTTGTCTTCAAATATAAAGTTGACATAGGAAAGCTGTCAAACTTTGTCTCCACCATAAACTGGTCAAAAACGCTTTCAAAGGATCGTGCGAAAGCTAAACTTATTTCACTAACAACGGAAGAACGTCACTAAAAAGCGCGAACAACAATGAGAATGGAGTGTCTCGGTACCGGGGAAGTTTACTCATATTGTAAGTTATACGAAGAAGCTAGCTCTCCCCTTAAATATCCGAAAAAGTGAAGAAATTCAAATTCTGCCGTGTCTAGTCTTTTCCAGAAAACAAATGAATCATTTCAAAAAATTGAAACTTTTTTAAGGAAATCATTTATTTTTTGATTCGCTTTATTTTTGATTCCCGTAACAGCTAGGAAACGACTGGGAAGAAGGATTTTGAAATTGTTATAGATTGGTGGTTTTGGCTTTGTCAAAACACTTAAAATTTGGGACACATCCCCCTTTTGTGTTTCTTGTCTTTTGGCACCCGCGTCAGGTTTCTTCTCGGTTATACAGAGTTCAGCGTCATCTCAAAGGTCATTTGCGGCCTCTCCTCGCTTGTTTTACCCTCCCCACCCTTCCCGGGTTTTATTTTATAGCTGTAGTGTTCTCTTTTGAGTCTACTAATTGGGATCAATTCAAAGGTAAGCATCGTAGCTCATCGTATTGCTTATTCAGATAAATAATGATTGATTACTCTTATATGGAACTGATCCCGGCTTCCTTAATTTTCCGATTTGCTCTTTTTAGCATTAAGTTAACTTATGTGCGTGTTGTTCAAGCGTTTGACCAAACAAATTTTCTCAAAATATTATCAAGAGATTACACCAGTCCTGAAAATAGCTCCAATGGGTTCCTGCCTTTACCTAACCCCACCCATTTTCATACATTGTGTTATGTTTGTTTTACGTTATTAGTCATCGAGTAGTTTAACAAAAATTATTGATGATTAAAAATTAATTATTGATGATTAAAAATTAGTTTTTAATCATTACCCACACCCACGACCCACGACTTGTACCCACGACCCACGACCCACGACCATTAGACAAACTCGGTCTAATAGCAGTGTCAGGTCAGCTTTGGCTAATTACAAATTTTAGTATTAGTCAGTGAGTAGAAAATACTAAAAGAGTAAGCAGGCTCAGGAACCGCTCCTGGCCAGCCCGGTGAGACGACCGGCAGTGTCAGAGATCACCTACTTTATCTCGTATTAGGGTGTTCCGCTCTACAGGACAATTTAACGGTTCTCTGAGGACCTCCAACCTATCGAAATGAAAAGGAGAGAATATATTGACGGTATATTGAAAACAAGCATGAAACCTTGCAGGACTGCAGTAAGACTTCAGTAAGGGATGTTGTCCATGGTGTACAGGCTGAACTTCGATTGAGAGAGAAGTAGACTGGCTCCACTGCTGGCCAGTATTATGAATTTAAACTTTACGTTTCTACCAAAACAAGGACATAATTATGTGGAGTGGAACTTCGATATATAACGAAGGGCCAAGGGTGTGGAAAAATTTGTTCGCTTTAACGAGGTTTCGTTTTATGGAGGTTCTTTTTCATATATTTTGCCATTACTGGGGCAAAAAGTATCGTTCGTTATATCGAGGACTTAGGCTATATAGAGGTTTGTTATATCGAGGTTCCACTGTAAAATCATTGCACTCCATTTCAACTCATCACCAGCCGGTAGTAGTCAAACTTTCTTCAATTTACAAATCGTGACAAAAGGGTCAATTAAGTTCGTTTTTAGACTTTTTTTCCTCAGAAGACTCTCATAAGTATACACCGTGCATGTCTACCGTGGGGAACGCGAAAAACAATGGCGGCGGACTAAGTGAAAACAAAATGCCAACAAGTTACACTATAAGGACTCATGCTTTGAAAAAACGCCTTGTGTAGCAACTAAAAAAAGAAAACAACCTATGTTGTTTCAGTTGACCACTGGTTAGTCAGTTAGCAACCTAGTTAGGCTCGATTTCCGCCGTCTCCCGGGTCCGGTCTTTGATCCTCCCCGGGGGATGAGTGCGGGCTCATTTTCCCGAACAGCGGCTGGTAATCGAGCCTACAACCTAGTAAAGGGACTGGTTCACGATAATGCGCATGTGTGAGTTCTGACAGTAGCTGATTGTTTTTCAACCAATCGGAAGCGAGTTAGATGCACGCAAGTAAAACTACAAAATTCAAGTTAATTGTTCGCGACGCGAGAGTATTTCCGGGCATTTGGTTTGATTTTATTTATCCCCATAATTCAAGTTTATTCTTTGCTACTCCTCAGATATATGTTGCAGCCGATAAGAATAAGATTTACAGCCCTGTCCTGCTTTGAAACAAACATTTACCAACGTGTATTTTTACGAGGTCGTACCCACGCTAACAAAGCAGTCACCGATCGGCAAACAAAATTTGTAAACAAACATCTTATTACTGTTCTCTCAGTTCGCCTTGAATAAACCCAGAAATACCTACAAATAGCGCCTGACCGGTGGCAAAAACACACAACGTATGAGTATAAAGTTTATCCTTAACTGAGCATTAATTTCAATTGCTTATCAGCAAATGAACAAATTCATTCGCGTTGCATCGGGTCAGTGTTTCGCAAAACAAGTGTTATCGAGTAGCACACATAAAGAAACTAGATTATGAACAGAATATTCAGGCAATAATTTATTTTAAAAACATCAATTCTTAAACATATACGATCGCAAAGCAAAGATACAAGGAACATTTCAAGTGTACCAGATCGGTGAAGATCGCGCGGCCTGTTGCGGTATAACTACAAGTCGGAGTCAAAAATCGAATCAAAGTTGTTCCAAGTGTCGTGAATTCTTTTCGTATGCCACACACTACTCCTAGAACCATACCAGATCCATAGGCTAAGCTTCTCTATCTCCAGAGCCTCTTGAGAACGTCCTGTTGCCGGACGGCCACGATGCTCTTCTCCTGGGGGCATTTAGGTATTTTTTGGGTGGGTATGTGCCGCCCGGGACTCCAAATTGGCACCCCGTTCTAAAAAACATTTCCCCTAAAATTGATGCCCCGTTCTAGAAGTGGGCCAATTTTTTATACCCCGTTCTAGAATTCGCCCTAAAACTGATACCCGTTCTAGAAATGGGCCAACTTTTTATATTCCGTTCTAGGGTGCAACTGAAGAGTACAACAGTTTGCTTGTTAACGCATTGCACCGTATTTTTAAAAGCAATCTGTCCTTGAATAATTTCAAATCAGCTGCTTACAAAAGAGGAGCTTTTGTGCGTTCGAAATATTATACCCCGTTCTATAAAACGCGTCTGAAATGGATACCCCGTTCTAAATCAGGAGCTTCAAAATCACGACCCCTTTGGGCGGCACATACCCGTATAGGTAATGTATGGGAGTACCCCCGGGCTCTTCTGAACCTCCATGATAAAAACATTATTTTTTGCGTCTTCTTAAAACGTAACCAGTCAAACGACACAACCACACGTTAATCACCACTACCGAAGTATAACTAGACCAGCCAAAGCGACGGATGTCCGAATAAAGCGAAGGATTGTCAATGATTGTACCGGTAATGGCGATTTCGAATTTAGTGTTGACCCAACAAATTTATTCTGAAGAGACAAACGGCGCGCATGCGCATTATCGTGAACCAGTCCCTTTAACATGAAGCAGAACTCGCCGCTCAGGCTCGATTCTGAGAATTGAGCCACCTTTTTTTAATACTGATAAGAGCCCTGAACTAAAATCTTTCAAGTGGAAGTTATTTTCTTTTTATGCTATGTGTTAAAACTTTGCACAGCTCCCATGTTTGTTCGCTCAACATAAGAGAACTTAGCGAATTTGCAGTCGATGGAGTAGCTCGGATAATTAATGCAGGAAGTTGTTCTTTCTTAGAGTAGCTGAATAGCGCTATATAAATTATTATTATTTTTATTAGAGTGCATCGTACTTGCGCTTTATTAGCCTTAAAAAAGTTAAGAGAGACTGTAATTTTAAGATCGACAGCAATGACAAGCGATTTCAGTTAGTCAGGGCTAATAACCTCCCTTTCTTACAAAATCAAAGTCTCTGTCGACGAGTCACGTAGCTGGCAACTTCGGCATTGCTTCGCTACGTCATGCTTCCAGAAGCATGAACACTCTCTCGAAGCCAGTAAATAACCTCTAGCTAGACTAACTATCTGATGACACAGGCATGATAATACAACTCAAACAATTAATAGAACCACCAACCTCCTGAAGTGTTCATCAAGGCACTGCCTACAAAATCTATGCCCACACTTTCCCGTCTGTACGGCCTCTTTCAGTGGCAGATGACAGATTGAACAGTGCAAGTCTTCGTCGACTGAATTCACAAACTCGTCATCGTATCCACCAGGTAATGCAACTTCTCGAGCTTCAGCCATATTCTATATGAGGAAATTAGCCGTCTTCCAGATACATGCTCTAACTATTAGGTAGGGAAAGGATATTCAGTGGGTTGTGAATCACACGACGCAATGGGTGGGATCTCTAATACACAGTACGCATATTTTTGACTGCCAATTAGCCTTATGCCATGCATAACAAATGCCTAGCATAAACTAGCATACATTATTGTGCAGGAACCCACGGGGCTAGGGCCTTTAGTAGGGTCCGCTTAATACAGATACAGGTGTAGTTCTCTGGACACAGGTTTTTTCTATAAAAAGTATAAGAAGAAAAGTTCGAATCTTATTGAGCCTCCTGTCCGCCAAATACTGACTTGAATTCCAAAATTTCTTAGCACAATTTTTAAAATAAGCATCCCAGTTGTGAAATCGACAGCAGGAAAAATGAACTGTAGTTTAAAAAAAAACTTATTTCAAACGTCGTACTAATCCCACCTTGCTTAGCCTCCCACGCAGGCGTTTTTAGGGGAGCTCGTATTTCTTCCCTCCCCAGGTTGTGGGGAGGGAAGAAATACGAGCTCCCCTAAAAACGCCTGCGTGGGAGGCTACACCTTGCTAAGATGGCAGATCTTTCAGGCGGACGTCGTGCTACCAAAGGCCTAACCCTAGACCACGAGCGCACAAGCGTCCCTGTCTGCGTCACCTTCAAATGGGAGCCCCCTCCCCACTCCCTGATCCCCTCGAGCACAACATGTGATTTGAGGAATTTCTCAGACTTGTAAATCTGCAAAATTTGACCTGAAACTAAGACTGAAGAATGATTCGCAATATGTTGTAGCTTTGGCGGCTGATATTATCAGCTGAAATCAGTTGGCCTCAAATAAATCAGCCCTTTGCCGTATTGCCAACTTTCAGACTACCTTATTATAGGAAATTAAAGCTCCATGAAATTAAGGTATTGGAAATTAACGCGAATTTAATGGAAAACGACTCTCGAATAAAGAAAATTAACGCGAAAGAGGAGGTAGAATTTCATAATAAAGGAAATTAACGCGATTAAGACACAGTTGGTAGTGACAACTGGAAATCTATCTTGGCCGAAATCAAAGGAAAAGATATTGACATCACTTCTGACAGCGACAACGATGAAGATGACTCGAAATATTGTAAACCTTCGCCTTAGCTTTTGTGAAAGATGAAAAATAAAGGGTAAATGGAAAGAAAGAAAGCTTGTAGTTAATGTCTTTTAGGTGTCAAGAATGTCTGGACAGGTTCCAAAATTGGGGTTAAAATACTGGAAATTAAGAGCGCGGAAATTAACGCTGCACTTAATTAACGTCGCGGAATTAACGCTCAACAAAATTAACGCGACTTAAAATAACGCGAATTTTAACGATTCGCGCTAATTTCATGGAGCGTCAATTTCCTATAATAAGGTATATTCTTGCGTGAATTTGAAATGGAAAAAACGCAAAATTATCGCCATATTTTTAAAAAAGCAATGAAGCTAAATGCCCTAAATTACGGATCAGTTGCAGATCGTTGCATGAGGCGAAGGGATCTGCTCTAAAAGATGAAATTTCAAGTGGAAGAATCATGGTACCAAAGAAAAGCTGCTCGCGGCTAGATACCGTGATGCCCCTTCAAGGACATTTAAGCTGTGCATGTTCTTTATAAGACCACAGTTTGATTTCTTTTGGGCATAAAAAGTTTCATTTGAGTTAGGCAGCTCCCGCCCTTGGTCCTAGTTGGGCACTAATGTGAACACACCCTTTTTTCAAGTACCCACGCTAGAATTCGGGCACGGTGCCGGTGTCCGATCCGAGTACAAGGTCGAGACCTTGTACTCGAGCACAAAAGTGGGCACCGAGTCCCTGTCACTGAGTGCACACAATAATAATAAGATCCGGGCGGTCCACTGCTTTGTTCTCCGTGCTTAGCTCATGTTTCAAAATGGCGTTTGACAGGGCGAAATGGAGTAATGATGTACACAGTAGCCTGCGTAGCAAGCGTTTCCAATCGAGTTATTGCGCGAAAGTTAGAGCGGAAGCAAAGAAAAAAAAGGTTGGTTCCTTCTTTCCCCTCTCCCTCCCCCGTCATTCATTTTTTTTTGCTCCTGTCCCAGCTTTCTAGACGAACCTCGCGAGGAAACGCTTGCTACACAGGCTATGTACACAGTCACATAATCGGGTTCTCAAAGTGTGAACACAACACCATTTTGTTCCGGTACCCAGGCATTTGTTCCCGAGAACCAAGTGTGGACAGCCCCTTAGACTAAGGGCGCATTCCAAACGTCAGAACTAACCGACCGAACGGGCCATTTCAAAAATGAAATAGGCTTTTTTAAGAGTTATTCCCTACTGGCTTTTTTAAAATTTGAACTCATGTAAATTATTTAAGAATTTACCGATTTGGCTGGACAATTTTGAATACCGAATGGTCTGGCCAGCCGGTTCTGATAAATGTGTTCAAGAAAAAAAGGGGAAAGGGAAGGTAAAAAAATGTTTTTCTTGTCTTCACTATCCAGTGGATAAGTAAGTATTAGAGAACTGAAACCAATTTTTTTATACGAGGTTCGACGAAAGAGAAAAAGATAAACGCTGGTTACGTTTTGGTGGTATGCTAGAGAGAGGAAAAGCGTTACATCACGTTGTCATGGTAACAAAATCTGGATCTCAACAAACCGTCGTCCTGCAAATATGGCAGAAAAAAAAACACAAAAATTTACATGTATGACTTTCCAGTCCATGATTGCACCGAACTAAAGCGGTAGCCCACACTTTTATTTCATCGGTTGTCTTTACACTAGGCTGTTAAGTCTTTTAAGAGCTGCTAAGTTTTACTTAACCAAAAATTCGTGTGGGTGCTGAGAGTTCTAGGTCAGGGCTAAATCAGAGTGCGCGGATATTTTTCCCCAGAGTTTTTTCTGGTTGTTACGTCATACTGACGAGCCCCAAAGAGGGCGAAACAGCTGTCTATGGCTACAATCCCGCTCTGTTTTGAGTTCTTTCGGTGTCGTGTTGATGTCTTGCAGAGTTAATTTTTACGTAGTACGATCAGCCTTGCAGTATTCTGCTTGCAGAATTTAATATGGCTGCTTTTACTGCACTTTTCAAAAACACGCGAACTCTGAAGTTCAAAGGCCAACTCACGTTTGCGTATTTCGCTGCCGTCAATCATCCTAGTGGACCCCTTAGGAAACAGTGACCTGTGATTGGTGGATTTCGATTAGTCTGTGTACAGACCCCCCTCCCCTCAGGAAAAATTTGAGAAGGGACCCCTTCTCCGATTTTCCCTGAGGGGAGGGGGGGTCTGTACACAGGCTAGATTTCGATCCGTTTTGTGTGTTTCCGTGTTTCATCGTTCGTTTTTGAACTTTAGAGTTCACGTGTTTTGACAGGGAACGTCACATCCGAAATCCCCGAGGACGACTGGGAACGAGGCTGCGCGCGTTTGTGAAAAGCGCAGCAAAATCCATTCTCGTCCCCAGAGCCCGTTACAAATTAAGCCGAGTGGCTCTGGGGACGAGAATGAGCAAACTCCCCCAGAAATTTTGCTACCATGGTAACGTGGCCACACACTTTTTCTTTCTGAAGAGCGCAGTAAATCCCCCCCCCCCCCCACAGGAACGCTCTTGTTTTCCTCAAATTTGCACCTGTAGAAGTCCAAAAATTTTTCCCGACCCGAAATTGTCCAACCTCTCCCCACCCTGCTTCTTTAATTTCGCGGACTTTTTCTTCATTCCCAGGGCTTCGCGCAGTACATATCAGCTGCTTCCCACGTGAATCCGTTCAGTTCTTGCCCTGCTCTTCAGAGCGCGGCGAACAGAGTGTTCTTTTAACTATATTCTTCATTGACATGGCTGGTTATCAGGAAAACTTTGTAAGTGTTGTCGATGAGGATTTCCAATGTTGTATTTGTAATTTTCCTCTGCGAGAACCCTTACAAACGAGATGCGGACACCGATTCTGTCGCGAGTGCCTCGAAGATGCATCAACAAGGTTTGAAAATTTTAAATTTAAGCTTATTACGCATTTAACATTCGACTCTGAATATCAAGCTCTTTTGTTTCTTTCCTTTCTTGAATGTGTATTTCTTCAGTGTTTCTTGGTACTAAAAATTCAAAACGGAGAGAGTGAAATATATTTTCTCATTAATATTAATGTGAGATATTTTTCACTTTTCAAAGCGGGTGTCACTCGGGTGTCTGTGAACTTTGTCTGGGTACTGGGTGGGGTAAGCAGGAGCTTTATAGCGTCCATACACCCACATTTTAGTATATTTTTTAATACGCCCGTGCGTACACATGTACTTCTAAACTATGAATTTTTTTTTATTTTCGAAAAAATAATCTTTTATCATTAAATCGGGATGACTGATACATTTTTTGCACAGCATTGGTGTGTTTGTGTTAGTATTTCCTTTATCCTTTTATTATTCCATAATTCTGACGGCGTCGCGTCACTGGCCTTTTTTTTCCCTGTAAACACGGTACCTTACTGACAACACTAGAGATGGGGAAAATAAACAACAAACTACTGCATTTTCCTGCATTTTAATTCACTGAAAATGTCCTGTGGAAAAAAACATATGTATCTATTTTTAAAATTTTCTGAGGGAGCTGGGAGCATGCCCCTAGAACCCACTAGGTTGGGCCATCTTTTGTTCTACAAGTTTTCTCCTCATGTGCATACTACTTTAAAATCTCTTGCTATGCCCCTGGTAAGGTCAGCCCATTCTCCCCTCATCCCCCCCCCGTTTTCCTGGTGTACAATTTAACTCACTCCATACCATCCTACTGCCATGCTCTACGATCTGAACACCTGGGACAGGCTATCCAAAGATCTAAAGAATGGTTTCTATAAAGGTGTAAGGAACAAATACATCATGTAACAGGGGCGGATCTAGGGGGAGGGTGCAGGGGGTGCGCACCCCCCCTGAGATGACCTGCGGCTTTCTAATTAACACTGTGCAGTCGCTTCAGAACTGATACAAAAGTTGCTGTAATGTTTGATATGCATTCTCAGCAGCTCACACTACGTTATTGCCTAGTCAAAAGCCTTCTTCTTCATACCGAAAAATTCCGAAAATAAGCCCAGGGGCTTATATTTTTCAAAGGCCCTTTTTGAGGGGCTTATTTTTGGAGGGGCTTATCTACGGAGGGAAATTTGCGTTTCAAAATCGATTGGGCTAGCCTTATAGTTGGAAGTAAATTTCCGTTTTTGCTTTGTTTTACTTTGTATTTGAGGGCAATTTTCTAGGTACAAGCCCCCGGAACGCTTATATTTGGAGGGGCGATTTAACGGAGGGTTTTTTGTGTTACCAGTTTGGGGGGCTTATATTTGGAGGGGCTTATAAATGCAGAGGCTTATTTTCGGAATTTTACGGTATTCGCTTTTAAAATTTGTTTACGTCATCGATCAGTCATGCCATCCCTTAGTGGTGCACCCCCTCCTAAGAAAAATCCTGGATCCGCCCCTGTGTAAATACAACTTTCTTTATCACCCTAGCTTTTGCCCCTACTGAAAGGAATCATTGTCTGATTTTCAGAGTGACAACAAATCACTTGGGTAATTGTCCAGACGCTGAAGATGCACAATATTTTCCTTGCCCCATGGATAGTGTGAAGTTAGACCATAACAAAGTGAGTATTAATTTTTGACTGTCATCATTATCTGTTTCGATCATAAGCTAAACAATTAGGCATTCACATAACATGACATTTTAGGTGACTTAGCTATAATATTATTATATTTGTTTGATTTGTACGTCCTGGCCTACAGCGTTTTTGGATCCAGTAGCAGGACTATTATAGTAGCTGTACCCTTTTATTGTTAGTACTTTTTTGTTCTCACAGCGTTCTTTCTGTTTTTGACTGGTTGTGGGAGGCCAGTCAGATGATTAAACTGGCAGAACTCAGAATTCTGCCCCCTTTGAGTTTAGCCACCCATACGGATGTTCTTAGTGGTCATCATTCGTTCCTTCCCCATGAACGTATAAGTGCTGGCTGCACGGTTCAGCAGACAGTCATTTATGGGAAAGGAACTTGTGATACGATGAAGCCCTAAAAACATCTGCCTAGGTTAGGCTACTCTGAGTTCTGCTTTGTGTTATAATAATAGGACAATTGCACGATGACGATATTTGACTACAACTACCAGAATTCATTTCGGTTTTGCTTTGTTATTTAAATTTGGCAATCCCGCAGAGGATTAAAGAACAGTAGCCTTAATTTGTACAAGAAAACAACAAACTCAAGGATTCTGGTAGTTGTAGTAAAATGACGTCATCATGCAATTGTCCTATTATTACACAAAGAACCTTGATTACATAGGGTGCTTTGAGGGGTAAGGAGGGTATGAGGTATCTTGCAGATTTTTTTGGGAGGGGAGGGTGGGTACTGACAGAATGCCTTCAAGGTCTGATTCAGGCCACTAGATCTACTGTTTTGGATGTAACTAAGCCGGCATTTAGAGCCCAGATTCTAAGGGATGTGCCTCCAAAAGTGGCAATTTTTGACACCTGTTGATCTTGTGTGAAAATGTCTTGAAAATATAATCTCTTCAGGACCTGAAATGTTTTTGGTCTGGAGTCCTGGAGCTTTGTGAGAACCCTTGCCCCATAATAAAACCTCTTTTTAAAAGTGACAGCTTTTCTATAATACTTGAAAGACAAAACGTTTTTGCAAAAGATTATTGCACTGTAAAGGAAGGTAATAACAAAAAAAATGTGCTTTTTTCTATATTCTTTACTAACATTACTCTTGGTAGGATGTTTTTCCGGACAAGGCTACCGAAAGAAAAATTCTGTCATTCATCATTCAATGTCCAAACCATGGCTGTGAGTGGACAGGTGCACTTGGAGAAAAAGATGTAATTATAAAATAACTAATAATAAAACGATATATGACACAATTCATGGAAACATTGTTATACTTAATGAAAATGCGTATTTCACATCTATGCTTACTAACATTTACATACTGTGCAGGTATGGGGTATTCCAAAAGTAGTTACCCACTGACAATGCTTATCAAATTTTGTTTTTAAATCACATCATCTTAACCCACTCCTCTCTCTTTTAATAGTTTTTAGTTACTCTACAGTTTGTATGTAAAAAAATTCAATTATTTCTTTTCACAAATTTCTAAGATTATGGCTGCACTAGTATTTGATACTGTGCAGCCATTTAGAATATATTTTAATACTTAATGTCAAGTTAGTTCTTTCCAGGGTTCAATCAAATATAGTGCCATTTTTTTGAGATTATTATTACTTTCTTTTACCATTAGACACCCAGGCATGCCAGCTAATCCTGCATGATAGAAACTCAAAAGGAGTGGAAAAGGGATTAACTGGGCAAGCAGTGTTCCTTCACAGCCAATTTCCCCCTTCAGGGGCACCCACTGACTGTTTTCTGTGAAATATCTGTTTGGAGAAGCAAATATTGCCTAGAATTTTCTATTACTTGAGGACGGCTAAAAATTTCTGGATGAACGTTCCACTCATGCATGTACAATTTTTGAAGCTTATCTGATAAATTCATTATGATTTTCTGAAGTTTAATCTTCACATTTCACTTGCTAGTTAGCCTATTTTTCTTGCGTAGTTACTAAAACCCGGAACGACCCACAACGGCCCACAACGATCCACAACGATCCACAACGACCCACAACGATCCCACAACGACCCACAACGATCCCACAACGACCCACAACGATCCACAACGTTGCGTTACATAAACTGTAACTGACTGAGAACAATTTACGCCCATGTGATTTTGTTATATAATACGTTTTCCTTCAAGTGTGGCACGGAATGTACTAGGTTTTTCAACAAGGATTTTATGAAGATGTTTTTAAGTTGGCGAGTTTCTTAACTCTATGTTTTTACGAGGCTGGACAAATGTAAGTTTTCTGCAATTTGTTTTCGTTTATTTGACTGTCTTTTCGCTAGCTAAGGATTCCCTTCTAATTTTGTATCATTTCGCAATTTTTAGCTTCAGATTACCACATTACTACGTTCTACCGCGTTGTTTTAATAAATACTGAAAATCCAGCCTTTGCCGTGGTTTTGCTCCTTTGACCCATCGGCCCAGCACTATTTTAAATAACGTCAACGTACCATTCAAATATACATGAGGTCTCTGCCTGTAAAGGGAAGCAATTACGTACAATGGAACTCGTGGTAGATATATACATGAGATCTCTGCCGTCTTGATGGTCATTGTCATAACACTGCAATCCCAGTTCGCTTCGCTCGCGCAGAAATGTTTACGGAGAACAAAGCTGATGAAACTTTTCATGTGTCTTATGCATATCTTTATTCGATGGTCGGCTGAAGAGACATCGATCGGACATACAAATGTGTCTCTGAATGGGGATTCTTTCTCGTGAAAAGCTGCATTTACCCATTTATTTTGTCCTGTTTTTGACAACCCTATGAATGTGTTACCGGACTATCAAAGGTATTCTGGGTAGTTGTGAGTCATTATGTTTGCTATTCAGTATGCTTTTCAATTTTTGGAAAAAATTCAAAAGTTAAGTTTTTGATATTTTTTTCTTGGGTGGTTTCTTTCGTTGTGGGATCGTTGTGGGTCGTTTTGAGATCGTCCTCGGTCGTTTGAAGATCGTTGTGGATCGTTGTGGATCGTTGTGGGTCGTTGTGGGATCGTTGTGGGTCGTTGTGGATCGTTGTGGATCGTTGTGGGTCGTTGTGGATCGTTGTGGATCGTTGTGGGTCGTTGTGGATCGTTGTGGATCGTTGTGGGTCGTTGTGGATCGTTGTGGATCGTTGTGGATCGTTGTGGGTCGTTCCGGGTTTTAGTAACTACGATTTTTCTTGGAGAAAAGGAAAACTAAAATTTTCGGACTCAAGAATGCAATGGAGAGAGAAATCAGAAAATGTCTCACTTTTGTAATACTTTAAATTGCACCTAAAATTTTGGGGAAAATAATACCCAAGCCCTTGTATTTTCCAAAAGACTCAATTAAGTTCCCTCAGGATGACCAAACAGTTACAAATTTTATAGCTCCGCTTAGAATGCACTTCTAGACTTCTAAAAGTACTCTGGATAGCCTAAACAGTATTTTCAATATATTTAGGAGGAAACTGTCGTTGGGTGCCCCCTGCCCCTTCCACCTTTATGTTGTGTACCTGTTCAGCAGGCTTTTATCAGTTTATTTTCTGTAACAGTTTTTTTGTCTCAACAGAATCACATGGAGTCATGCTTGCTACTGATAGTTTCTTGTACTAATAATAACTGCACTGAAACCATGATAAGAAAAGACCTGGACAAGCATGTAACAATAGGCTGTCAGTGGAGATTGGTGCACTGTTCCTACTGCAATGAGCCACAGCCTAAATGCCAGGGAGAGGTAATAATAATATTATCACAGCTTTGCTTCAAACCTACAGCACCTTGCAGCCAGCAGAAGCCTTTATTAAGCTTGCCTGATTTTGGCATACTTGGAAAGACTCTGCATGAATTGAAAAAGATCTTTGTTGAACATGCGCAGCATGTCGCTGGGATATAGTTTTGAACCCAGGCCTAATAGCCGTGCGCTTGCTACAGAGGTCTTGGTTGTGACCATAGGTTTCTCAATAAACTCAAATAAATGGATGCTACACTCAAAAAAACCAGTTTGAAGAGAGAGAACAAGATTGACTGGTCCAGAAGTTTGGGCTGCGGCCACCTCAAAGGTTTGACGTGATTCAAGCAGAGCCGCCTTTTTGCTCCCCACTCAGAAAGATCAAAGGAGGCTGTGCTCGCATGGTGACACTACAGTAATCATTTTGCTTTAGGATTCCCCCGTAAATGACATTTGCTATCTTTTTTTGCAAATGATACTCAGTTGCATGCACTAACTTTTGCCAATAAAAAGAAATTGTCATTAATAATTATTGTGAGTCTCAACTTCAGTGGAAGTAAATATATTAACCCACAACACGGGATGTCCAATACTCACCACTTGTTCAAGTTGTAAAATCTAAGACTCAGGTGGTACGAGTTGTTAAGTTGTGCAGTTGGTTGAAGTGGTGAATGTGATATGCTTGAGTGAAAGAAAGTGAAGTATTTACAACATGTACTTGGCAGCATCTCATTAGACAAGCACAGAGAGGGGGTCCTGTCAGTGGTGCAACTCATACAAGTCATACAACTGGTGAAATATAAGCATCTCATTATCAACGCTTAGAATTTGTTTGTGTGAGTCGTACCACTTGACAAGGCCTCCCTCACAACAACTTTGCTCACAAATTTCACTGTCTCTAATGAGATGCAAGTTCACCAATTGCCATTCAAATGAGATGCAGTTTAAACATGTAATACCTCATGTTATCACACTGAAATATCCAATCACATGAATTCAAAGGCTAATCTCATCACTTTACCACTCATACAAGTTGAAACACACACAACATGACTTTCACAACTTGAGCAAGAGGTGAGTATTATTGGACTACCCTCAAACTACACTAAAAAAAAGGTATAAATCTTTGGTTTAAAGTCCCAAAAATCTATTTCAGGAACACATTGATGTGTGTAAGAAGTACCCTGTGCAATGTTCAGCTGCCTGTGGAGTGGAAGTTCCTCGGGAAAAGGTTTGGTTTTTTGTCTTTTCCCTTGTAACACCAATTTATCTTGATTTTCAAAAGAAACCCAGAAAATGTTCAGTTGAACTGGTTGCATTTCTCTAATCTCTGATTACTCGAAAGTTGCTTAGGACCTCCAAAACATATCATAAGTTAGCCTAGGACCAGGCTTCATAGTGGGGGGGAAAAGCAAAAAACGGGGTCAAATAGATAAAATATTTGGCGATTTTTTTTCTCCTTTTCCCCCCAAAGCGGAGCCCGGTACCAGGCTAATCAGAAGTTGTCTTCCCCTTCCACCCTGTGTCACACCCGAGAAGGTCCTGAAGGTCTGGAAATAGTTGCTTTTATTTTTTTAAAATCTAGGGGCATTAAACCAGGAATATTAGATGATACTGTATCTTGAAACTATGCCAATTCTTTAATTTTACTCTTTCTGTCATTCTTTTTTTTGTATTATTTTCTAGATTCTGGAACACACAGAGAGCAATTGCCCACTGATCACTGTTTCTTGTCCTTTTGCTGTAATGGGCTGTGACGTAAAGGTAGTTTACTTTGTGGTTTTATAAACTGCATCCATTTCATAAACCTATTACAAATAGTGTTTTGCATAATTTATGTAAAAAGACTGAACCCGGTCATTACTTTTTTTTATCCCAACAAACGCATTTTGTGGGTCAATGTTAAGTCAATCAAAGATTGGATTTATGTTCGATTATACTGTGCGCGTGTTCCTTTAACCCCTAAGCCTTCCCCCCAATTCTCTTCTTTAGTAAGAGAAAAAGGACGAGTCTGCCACTATCGCAAATCTCGTTACAATTTTTTGGCCGCTGCCAAAATATTCAGACGAGTGCTGGAACCTCTTCCTTGTCAACAAAAACATGTATTTAGTCACCTCTTGAAAGAAGAAAAAAAAGATCTTGGGTTGGGTACTGAATAAAATATGATTGCAATTGCAAATGGACCCCAAACCAAGAGTCATGAGTCAATGAGTCAGCTCTGCTCGTCGGAAATTTTGAATTAAACCCCTAAAGGAGACCGATCTGTGTGAGGCCCAAACTTTTTTGGACCCCTAAAAGAGACCATGTTAAAACACAGACAAATGAGAAAACTTGAGTTACATGAATGGCATAAATAAAACGAATTAAAAATATACATATCAAATATATATTTTTATATTTTTTCGCGTGCAACCCTAAACGAGACCTTCACGGCTAAATATGGTGACGTTTTGCCCAGAACACCCTAAGTGAGACCAAGAATACTTATCTTTAGACCAGCATGACAAGCTAATGAGTAAAATAGTGACACAGATATAAAAGTAGAACTTTCCTTCGCACTCATAACCGATTTTCTACTTCAAACCGGGCCCAAACATCAACACACCGAATATCAAAGAACGACTGTTCCCAGATTTGAGTCTTTGAGCGCTAAGAAATTCCATAATATAGGTTTAAAAGGGAATTAAGCACTTTCTTCCGAGGCACTCACAAAATTTAGGCTGGCTTATTTTTCGCTTCTGCTATGCGGCAGGGCCTAGGAACTGCTAACAAATAGCCTAGGGCGAGATTTCATGTCAGAAATAGGCCTTGTGCAAGCAACAATGATGGAGGTAGACAAAATAAGTAAAAGTAATGCTTAATTTTATTGTTTCTAGTGAAACATTTATTTTTTCAGGTCTGACTCATTGACTCTTTGACTCAGACTCATTGACTCATTTGACTCATTTGATTTGTCATGGTCAATCAAAAGTGATCGAGGAGTGACGTAGAAAGTATGTATTAACGGTGCTGTCAGTGTAAAACGCAGTCTGCGGACTATTGTTTGGCCATGCAAAGGAGAACGTGGCAACAATAGTCCCATTGTTTTCTAACCCTAAAAACAATAATCCGCATCAGTCCGCAGTCTTCATTTTACATGGCCCCATTAACGGTGTGTGTGAGTAGTGAGATGAGGGGGTGAAGTGTTAAAGCTGCTCTGAAACATGGCAATAGCTGTGTAGCAAAAATTTCCCGGATTCCAAAATCTGGGTTTCCTCACATGGGTATCTATTTAGTAGATAGCGCAGTTGGTTTCCATAGCACCTTTTCGCTGGATAGTGATTTATAAGGTAGATAGCGCTACCTACCTTTTGTAGCGATATTTATTGTTGTGTGTGCTAGGATTGTTTTAAGTTTTTAATCTTTGTAGATCCTGAGGAATCAGATTGAATCACATCTTCAATCATCCTCCAGCCGTCACCTTGAACTTGCTTGTGTCAAGTTACATAACACTCAGGAAGAGTTTAGAGAGAAGACCAAAGAACTTGAAGGGAAAATGGACTCGCTTTGTATGCTACATGATGGAAGGATTTCTACCTTGGAAAATCAGCTAAAGGAATTCAAGAAAGTGAATGATTTCCTTGTTGATAAAGTGGCTGCTCAAGCGAAGCAAATATCAGCATTGTATATAAAACCACCACAATTGTCATGGCGGATAAATGACATTGAAAAAATCCTGAGTCAAGCGCGCGAGAAAAGAAGCACGGTTTTAGAGAGCTCGCCTTTCTATTCAGCAAATCACGGCTACAAATTGAAATTGTATGTGTATCCCAACGGTGATGTTACAAACAAACATAATTATCTCTCAGTATTCGTAGTTATAATGGAAGGTGAATATGATTCCTTATTACCCTGGCCTTTTCATCAGAAGATAACTTTCATCCTTGTTGACCAGCCAGGAGGATCAGATGAAAAGAAAAATATCGTGATGGAATTAACCACTGACCCCACTCTCTCGAGTTGCGCAAAGCCTGTAGCGGGAAAAGTGGTTAAACCCAGTAATGGGTTTGCCAGGTTTGTGACGCACAAAAACCTCAAGACCCGGAGATATATTGTGAACGATTCGTTGTTGCTTCAAGTCGAGGTACATCCACCAAATTAATGGAACCCTATCAACACTCGATGCAACCCAACTGGTTTACAGAACTGTTAACGAGCAATTTAAAACTAATATATTTAACAGTAATTGACCTAACAACAGAACTATTGCAGTTTTGTTGTTATATTGTTTCTTAGGCGAGTACAATAAAGAACTTATTGGGTTCTTTGGTTCCTTCCTTTCATTGAAAGCTAAGGTGGACCGCTCACAGTCCTCTGTTTTCCGTATTTTTTCCCATTGTCAAAGGAATCGCAAGGTCAAGAGTACTGGACGGTTTAACGAAAGGTTCCCTGCTAGCAGCGGCGTCTTTTCCCTGGTATTCGGCGGGCGGGAATACCGCCAGCCCGCCGGATACCAGGGAATAGAGGCCTTTGCTAGCAGGGAAACAAAAGGGGGTGTCTGTGAACAGTCTTATAAAGTTGAAAAAATACACGCCGCCTCCATTTTAAAAAGTTTATCGTTGTAGAAACGAGTGTACGAGTTAAGGCGGTCGGAAAGTGTCGTTTCCCCTCTCACGATTCCACTGCTTGATATATTTTTGCCATATTTGTTGGCGTGTTTTGTTGTTGTTTGTCACTTTTGCGATTTTTGCGAAATTTGCAGGCTTCTAGAGGACCTTTACCTTTCTTTTTAAGTCTGAATTTTTGCTACATTTGGTATTCTTGCGATATTAGTGAGGGTGTTTTTTTGTAGTTGTTGCAATGAAATTTCTTACTTTTGCGATTTTGTAGACTTCTTTAGATTTCTGCAAGCAGTTTCTATTAAACATGTTTTTGCTAAAACTGCGTCAAATATTTGCTACAGCTTGCAATCTTTGTTGAATTTGTTATTCTTGCTATATTTGCCATTTCTTCTGCACATTTCTGGTAGCAGCAGTTTCCATTAAATCTTTTTTGCCAAGATTGAGAAAATAATTTGCTAGCAAATTTTTGTGACTGTGTTCAATCCTGGATATGAGTGGAATGCTTGATACCATCGTATTATTTCGAGATGATTTCCATCGAGACTTTTTTCTTACCTTTTTGCGGAAACGGTAGGTCAGAGTGACTGAAGCCCGGAACAAAGTGATTTAGCTGAACTAACACCCTCAATACCGCGGGTGAGCGCATAAACCACTAACTCGGTATAACTCATGGTGCGATTCATAAGGTTCGAATGTAACACTCGTCAATAAATTTCAAACCTTCAGCCCACAAATAGATTAACTCTGTATTAACCTGGGAGGGGAAAGGAAGAGTACATTTTAAAAATAATAACTACTGGTCTAATGCAGTTGCGTATGGGAGGGCCGTCACCCGCGCCTTTTCTAGACCAGGGAGAGGCCCGCAGGGCCGTGACAATTTTTGGATCAATCGAGATTTCTGGGAAACTGACCACCTACCCCTCTCTTAAGTCACTGTTTTGCCCTAAGCGAGTCAAGTGTTAGTGTAGGCTTAGGGGAGAGGTAGATGGTCAATTACCTAAGCAAGCTCGCCCTCTCGGGTCTTTTCGCTTGCCTGGGGAATCTAACGGTGAGGGAGTTTGTTGACAGGCTAAATCAGTAGGGGAGTGAGTTGATTATTGATGTTCTTTAAAAACCTCAGCTTGCGAATGCAGTTCTCTCATGTCTCTGTTGTGCAAGAGGATCAGACAATATATATTTTTTTCTTTTTGAAATGGAGAGAAAACATTCGTTTTCAAGCACAAACAGATACTGGTGTGAACGGAAACTTCACTTTAAAATTTTATATTTGTTTTCAAGCGTCTTGTTTTGTTTCAAAAAATTTTCAAACGGTCAGGGAAATGGAGCATTAAAAAAGTAAGAAAAAAAAGGACAGAAGGAAGAAAACCTCTATTCTAGAGCAGTATACGAGACTCGCAGTCTACTTTGCGCATCCTTGAATATGTTTGTCTTTCATCTCAATAAATCTCACGAAATAAAGGGTAGCAGTCCCTCAGACATTTCACCGCTCACTGTGAAGCTGTGCATAACTACACTAATAAATGGAGCAAATTATCTTTCTGGCAGTCAAAAATCGGTGACAGGATAACTTGTACCAAAAAAATTTACTTCTACTCTCTCTGACTGTAGTATTCAAAGTAGATTAACTGATCGTGCGCAAGGTTTGCTCTTTATGTCGTCAACACATTACATCACAAAAGCGCGGTTTTCAGTTTGAATGTCTACGATAATTTGGCCACTGTTCTGGTATTACGATACAAGCTGACACAAAACTTATGATTGGTTGACCAAATTTCGTAACACTTTTCAAACTATTCCAGCAATCTATTTTCAGCAAAGAAATCGTCACTTGGCCCCACCAGTTGCTCCTTGTTACGCACAGGCGTCTCCTAACAAGATCTTTCAAGGCCGTTCTTTAAAAGGGCCAGGAAAGGGAGATATCCTGGAATTAACAAAGTTGGCCGACTACGTTTACCTGATGTATATACTTCACGTCCTGGTAGTGTTATTTGTCTGTTTTCGTGTACCTTGATCGATCCATCCTGGGAGACTCAGGAGCAGTCAGTCTAGCCTGCGTGGCAAGCGTTTCCGTTTGATTTCGGAGCAAAGAAATACCGAGGAAGGGGACTTGCGGTTTTGACCGCGCGAGAACTGAAACGAGAGCCAAAAAGTGAAAGAGGGGCTCTTTTACTTGCGACACTTTTCTCGCGGACTTTGACACTCGTTCCTCGTTATTTTCTCCTAAACCGCACAGAAACGCTTGCTACGCAGGCTACAGTCAGTCGGATCGGGGGAAACGGCGCGACGAAACCTCTTCCGCCCGTCCTTGCAAACTTTGTCGCGCCGTTTCTCCCGACCTGACTGACCTGCTATGGGACTGTCCTTGGGTCTCCGATGATGGATCGGTCGTCACAATTACTTCACACACTCCACTGAAAACCACTGACTCTATCGCTTTCCTTAACTATCGGCCCCAAAGGAAGTGACTAAACTTTTGAAGCTACAACTAAACAATAGTAGTGTCGTGCTACTGCCGTGCCGATCTCAATTCGAAAACTGAGCTAAAATTCTTGAAATGTTCAATGTTCACTAATTTAACAAGCTGATTTGCGAGCCTTCACCAGAGGATACCAACAAGACGTAAAATGTACTGACAAAAAATTTTCCTTTCGTCATTAAGGTGACAAAACTGAAACAAAAGCAGCGGACGTCTTGATCGGTGTTACTGTGGATAACCTAAATTGCTAATCTGAAGAACTACATTGAACTTTGAGAAATAATGTGTCATCTACAATGTAACGTCTTGTTCGGAGTTCCTGGTGAGATATAAAGCGAGAAAACCCATAACCATCGTTAGAATCTAACGGCCGAGCAAAACAGTCATTTGCTGGACCTGGGGTAAGTATCACAACAACATTGTTTGCATGTAATTCATTTTCTTGCTGATCAATAAGTGTAAATGTCACTGTTTTGCTAAAAGGCCAGGGCAATATTGCATCATATTTCCCTTTCAGTAAACTGACATAAACTGACAAATGAGTGTTCTTTCCGTCAGCGTCCCCATTTGGGTACATATATACGTATAACTTATATCCTACGGGTCCGGTAAAAAAGGGGCTACTTTCTACATCAGTGTTTATTCCTTTCTTTGCTGACTTAAGCAGCCCGTTAAATCCACTAATTTTCCATACAAAAGGAGGTGATTCCTCCTTTAATTTCAAAACTTCCCTATTGAGCTTGACACTCAAATCTCTGGTTAACTTTTGTTGAAAATTCCACTTGTCTTCGACTTGCTTTTCCAGGGCATCAATTTTAGCTTCAAGTTTTTTGGTTACTTCTTGGAATTCCTCGTTGTTTTTATTCAGCTTCACACATGCAAGGTCAAGATGAAGTTTGGCGGCAGTTTCCAAATGAAAATTAACCTTCTCTCTCGGTACCTTTATTCAGAAAAAGAAAATACACTGTATTACAAGCACAAGCAAAAGGGTATCAAGCATGGCATCATTTTTTTTTTTCAATAATTTTATTTTATTTAAATCACACTGTTAAAGTTACAAAGAGGCACATAATTAGGTACTAAGGAATAGAAAAAAGCTGGAAAAAAAAGGGACGAGACGAATGTAACTTACAATTGACATTGACTATACAACTACACAGAGTTAATCAATCACAATTTTCCTAACTGGTATTTAAATTATATTTGTTTGGCAAAGTCTGAAAGAGTCAGTGCTTTGTTATGAAGTTTACAGGAATAAATGTAAAATCTCATAAATAACAGAGTGTATAGTTTAATTTTGTTGAAAGTCCGCTAATGTTCAGTACATTTTCGGAAAGTCCAAATAAAGATTCTTTCAATAAAGGAAGTAAATTGGTTTTATTCTTAGAGTTAAACCACCTAAATACACTTTCCCTAATGCTCACTATGCATACCTCCATGACTAGTACAAGTTGGATTTATCGCATCTTTTGAATGTAAAACATTGACAATACTCACACTGAAATGTACTAGTCATGGATATATGTGTCGTCCGCATTAATTTGGAAAAATTAGCATAACGTCAAAACAGTGAATTTTGGACCGGTTCGTAGGATAAGTTTGTCTTGAAATTTTAAGGTGTTGCAGTGAATCAATCTGATGAAAGTTTCAGACACTTTTGTATACATTATGAAGAGTATGTGAAGAGATTTTAAAAAAATTCGTTCAAGTCGTTTCGGAGATATACAAGAAAACGCTAAAAGTCCAAATTCTGCAAGAACGAAAGTACACCAAAATTTCTTAGCATCAAAATATGATATGAAGCTGCATTCTGACGCTACTTAAGAATAATTTGAGTAATTTATAACGTATTTATTAAATAATCTATCACGGCTATTGAAAATTTAAGGTTTGAAATAGATTTTCGTTTTAGCGGAATTCAAACAGAGAGAATTTTTTACTTCTTACGGAGATTGTTTGCTAAACACCAAACTTTAAGTTCCTAGTGTTGGATTTTCAGTAGCAGGACGGTCTAGATCACACAAAATTCGGCTTTTATCAATTTCATAGCTTGCGAAAACATCCGTTTCTCCTCGCTCTTCGCCGCGGGGACGTTGCGAAACGTCCCCAGCGACGAAGAGCGAGGAGAAACGGATGTTTTCGCAGGCTATCAATTTGAAAGTTTTTTGTTTATTGTTGTCATAGTAATGTCGATTTTACATAAAACTATATTTTCACAAATTTCAATCTATTGCCAGTTACTGGTGAAAATTTTATAGCGATCGAACAAGGAGAAAACCACTTTTAAGGCGATTGAAAAATATCGGTATGGCCTCTGAAAAATTGTATCGAAACACCTTAAGAAGTCTAGGCAGCCACGCCAAACGTAAGGCTTTTAACATGAGATCAAGGTTAGGCATACGAATTCCTCCCTTTCCGTAATCTTGATATAAACATTCTCGTTTGATTTTATCCTTTTTGTTCTTCCAAAGGAAGCTCATTTATAAAATCGATCGGTACATTGAGATTTGAAGCTGAATAGACAAGTTGTGATAACCCGAGCGACTTAATTATAAGAACCTTTCCAAATAGAATTAAATTTCTTGATTTCCATATATCTAGATTAGTCTGTAATTTTTGGATCTTGATCGCAAAGTTATAGTAATTGTTCTGTTTTTCATCATAAGAAAAGTGAATTCCCAATATTCTGACAGGGTCGCGTGTCCACGTTAACTGCAACGGTGTGGAGCGATCCTTGGACCACTTTCCTAACCATACTGCTTTGGTTTTTTTTGACGTGAAGAGGCAAGCCTGAAATGCCTCCAAAGTTATTTATGGTAACAAATGCATTTTCCACAGAACTAATATCAGCACAAAATAAGTTAGTATCATCCGCAAATTGGCTTATTTTAGCTTCATTTCCAAATAAATTGATTCCTTTAATAAGATTGTTTTGACGAATTTTAGCTGCTAAAATTTCGGCAATGAGAAAAAAGAGGTAGGGGGACAGTAGACACCCCTGTCTTACTCCTCTCGAGGGCTTAAACCATTTGGTTGCTTTTTCAATATTTGCATAAAAAACGCTAATCCATCTTCCAACACTCCAAAATTCAAGGTATCTAACACCTTATTATTACGAGGCCATTCATCACGGGTATCAAACGCTTTTTAAAAATCTATAATGACAATAATATTCCTGATAGATTTTCAGTTTTTGTATTATCCATTATATCACTAATAAACCTTATGTTCTCGCCAATTTTGCGACCTTCTATAAATCCTGTTTGATCAGAGTTGATTATTTTTGGTTAAGTATTTGTTCAATTCTCCTTGCTAGAGCTTTCGCTGCAATCTTGTAGTCGGTGTTAAGTAAGGTGATTGGCCTCCAGTTTTGGAGGTCCAGTAAATCGGAATCTGGTGTGGCAATAAGCGTAATAATCCCCCTTTTTTGAGAAATTGAAAGTTGTCCTTTTTCATGAGCATAGTTAAAGCTTTCGACCAATTCAGAGCCAATAACATTAAAAAAAATACTTAAAGAATTCTATGGTAAAACCATCCTCGCCGGGTGAGGTGTTGTCATTAAGGCTTTCTAAGGCCTCTTTACATTCATCAAAGGAGAGGACACCTTCTAACGCTTCCCGCTCGTCATCCGAAATTTTCAGAAGACTTAGGTCACTCGTAAACGGATGGAATTCAGCCTCAGATAGAGATCCTTTGGATTTATAGAGATTGTAATAAAAATCTTCCATTAAATTTAGAATTCAATTTTCTTCAAATAAAATTTTCTCGTCCTCAAGTCGAAGTTCAGTAATAGTCTTTCTTCTATAGTTTTGTTTTTCTAGGTTGAAAAAATATTTAGTAGGGCGCTCTCCTTTCTCTATCCAACGACATTTAGAGCGGAGCATTGCTGCCTTTCCTTTTTGTTCGTAGATTGTATTCACTTCGGCTTTAAGAGCATCGTACTCATTTAGAGTGTCTTCAATGTTTTGCAGATCGTTACTATTACAAATTATTTGGTCCAACTCCTCCATTCTCTTTTGTATCTCGTCTTCGCGAAGAAACATATTTTTCGCTTTTCTTTTAGCATGAGAAATTGTGCTCTGTCTTATTTCCATTTTCATTAATTCCCAAACAGGACTTTTATCCTCCAATTAAGAGTATTTTTCACGAAGCCGGGGGATTATTTGTAGGATTCTAAATATATAATCTTCATCGTTGAGTAGCGAGTTGTTAAATTTCCAAAACCCTGGTCCTCTCTTGATATTTTGCGGTAGCGTTAAATCGATGTAGATCGTTTTGTGATCAGGTGCAATGGAGGCGCTACTTCCGACTTTTTGAACAAGCTTTAAAAAACTTTCACTAATTAAGAAGTACTCTAATCTCGACTTGTCTTAACATTAAGAGTTTTAGAAGCATAGGTATAAATATTGAGGTGTGGGTGACGTGTTCTTTGTATATGTAATAAATCAAACGTTTCCATGGTGATCAACAGCATATTCCTAAATTGTGAAGGTTTCCATGGCACTTCACCCTTTTTATCTTTTTTTGAGAGTGTACAATTCCAATCACCACCTAAAACAAGACTAGCAGCTTGAGCCTTGTCAATTAGGCAATTGTTCAACTCTTGAATAAACTCCAACTGTTCCTGTAGGTTGTTTGGTGCATAGATATTACAAAAGGAAATTTTCAATCCATTCACCAAAACTGTAATCATGACAATTCTACCAGATTTGCTTGCGTGTGAAGACTCCAACACATAATTCAATGAAGGATCTATCAGAATGCAAACGCCTTTGCTATGTTTAGTCCCATGAGAAAAAAATATTTTACCTTCCCATTCATTCTGCCAAATAGCTTCATCATTAATTTCTGAATATGTTTCTTGAAGAAAATAGACTTTTGCCTTCTGATCTTTCAGGTAGCTGAAGATGCTACTCCTTTTCGTTCGCCTTCCGAATGCCCCTTACATTGAGTGAGATGACCTTCACTCCTTTTTCTTGTTGCATTAGATAGGTTAATCTAAGACAACACCCTCTTGCCTAAAGCAGTGTGATCAGTAAACGAAGCAAAACAAAATAAATGAAAACAGCTAAACCAAGTTAGCACAGAAACCACTGCGGACGGAAACACTTAAAAAAAATTACCTTTAAAGGTAAAGAAAATACTTTAGAGAAAAAACCGCTCGATTCGAAACCCTTTTAAGATGCCCCTCCCATACTTAAAAGTTTCATTATGCTTCCACCTACCAGCTGTAACATTGAGTCAAAGGTAACTAACTAAATCTTACAGGATTTCCATCCGGCCAAGTCTTCACAAAAACGTTCCCATCAATAGTCCAAACTCCCAGTAATAATCCGTCATTCTTCTTATCAGTCGCCTTTTTCACTAACCTTCGGCGAATTGTTGTCAGATTTTCATTTATAAAGATGCGTTCCGAGGGAACTCTCGCTGGCGCGGAGGCGTTTGGAAATAACTCCGAAAACTTTACAGTCTTCATTCGTACTCTGTTCTTGTAGAGCGCTCTCTTAACTTTGTGGCTGACAAACCTTGCTATGATAGGATTCGAGTTTTTTCTTTTAACTCGGTGGCAGATATCACTATCTTCAACTTTTACATCAACATTTAACACTTGAGCAATTTTTAACACTGCCTCTTCGTTCTCCTAAACATCATCTGGAATTCCTAAAATTTCGACGCAGTTCTTTCTTGAATATTATTCCAACGCATCGATTCTATCATGCAAATCATTAATATGTTCGTCTTGCTTCTTTACTTGACCTTTAGTCGCTTGCAGTTCCGTCCTGAGCTACTTGTTGCTCTCAATCGCACCTTTTAGCGCTTCTTGTGTGTTTTTCAATTTAGTTTCTTGCGTCTTGCAGGAGGATTTTAGCTCTGCTAAATCTCTCTCAAGTTTATTCATTGAGTTTTGTATGCTTTGTAATATTCCAAGAATATCTGCGAGAGTAGGAGTAGAGTGAACCTCTTTTGGCTCCGTCAGTTCTTCTGTCGCAGACGCCGCCATGTTGAGACGTTTTAAAGCGTTTATCTTTGACTCATCTTCAGTGGAACCACGGTCCCCTCATTTGTTCTTCTTAACCATATATGAAGTTTGCTCTTAGTGATATCTTTCATGCTGATAAACGGCTCTTTCCCAAGGATTATACCTATTTGAGGGATGGCATCTCCGCACTCTCAAAAAACGCGGCCACCTTCGGCCAACTCGCGCATGCTCTCCATCATATCACAAAAGAAAATTCAATTGGCCGGAGTACAAGAGAGATAGAGAGAAAAAAAGAGTGGCTGTGAGTGTACAATGTGTATGTGTTTGAGAAAGGTATAGAACATGTTAAATTCAAAGTACATACCTCCACATTGCAGCAAATGTAATAGTAAGGGCACTGGATTACTGCTCAAGGACATTTGTTTTGAATATGATCAGGCAACTGAAACAGAAGGCCGGACCTGGTTTCACTCATAATGTGATTTCTTTGAACATGCATCAAACGACAACTGAAAACTTCATTAAGAAGACCCCACATTAAGAAGACACCCTGTGTTATCGGACACGAGTCTTAGTATATCTCAAACGTCACCCATATTTTCTAAATATTGTCGAACTACTTGTAATAATGATGATTCGGTCAAAATTGTAAGTGAATTTAAAACTAGTGATGCATGATAAAACAGTCTGAACTTAATCAACGGGTTCTTATGAAAATACCAAAATTCAGACACCTCTGTATAAATTTTGCAAACTCCTGAGTCCATCCCTTTGTTGTCCATACCGAAGAGGTACCAATGTACATAATTACCAGCTCAAAAAGGTTTATCACCCTATAGCATCGCTGCCCAAGAATGGACAGTGAAAAAATATACACTAACAGGACATTTGAGTTATTCTCCGGGCTAGGTTATCAAATCCTTAGAATGCCGAATAACTCTGTAACAAAGAGAATAGGTTACTTAGTACAGGGTTCTATCTAGGATTTATCGTTTGGGGGAGAAGTCCCGAGTGGCCGAAGGCCAGGAACTTCCTAGTGGGGTCTGGGGAAACGCCCCCCGCAATTGTTTTTGAAATGAATATGCGCTGGAATGCAATCTGGTGCATTTGAGACACAATTTTGAGAAAAGTGTGTGCACTGACCTCGTCGTGTCTAGATGATTTTTGCAATATAGTTACTTATATACTGTAATGATAACAATCCTTTTTGGGGGGAAGCTGGGCATTTTTTGGGAGAGGGGAAGCTTCTACCCTTCAAATACCCTAGATAGAGCCCTGATAGATAGCAAAGGCAAAAGCATTAACACAAGTGACATACCTGCACCATAATGTTGGACCACAAGCAAGCAGAACAATGGGTTTTTGTTGGACATAGACACATTCCAAAGCTGGAATAATTAAGTAATTTAGCGACCTTACGAAACTACGACGGCGAAGGTAACGGGAAAGTCAAAAAGCAACAGGTTTGACGAGCAAAACCGCAACTCTGCACGTGCATCACGCTTTCTTGTACATTACTTTTGCTTGAGAACGTGAAAGGCAAAGCGATAAATTGTACCTTCTCTGTCCGAACTCGGGCGCGGTCCCTTCTCTTCAGCTCCAATCTAAATTCCCTTCTTTTAAGTAACTGGGCCCCTTGGAATAATCGCGAAAAAAAGTGAAAGGATGCAAAGTCTATTTTTCAGCGACGTTTCCTTGGATGCCGCCGTTGTCAAATCGTAAGGTCCTTAATCCGGGTAAGACGGAAAGCAATTTCTTTTCACATAGGAATGTTTTCATTTTCAAACGAAGAATGCATAAACCTACCAAAAGGCAGTTTACTAAATAAAATGTATTTAAAACTCCAGTTTTAAGGAGTGTTTTTTTGTGTTAAAAGATTTTAATCAATCATAAGAGTTGCAAACAGCCCAGAAAAGTTTACAATTTTACGTATTTCTGTGTTACTTGGACTCGGACAAGGTTTTGTTATTGGTATAAGGAAGTTGGTTAGAAAACTAAGGATTTATGTACAAGCTGCTTTGCAAAGTCTTCATAAAATTTGCTGTTTAAGCCAATCAGAAGTATAGTGGAGACTATAGTAAAGTACGCAACGTTTTTGCATTTCGACGTGTTCATTGCGTTTGGTGCTTTCCTTCTTATCAGGACCATTACTAAAAACTTCACAATCAATAGTAACTAAAATTGACCAATATTCAAGTGGGAGAGAGTTGCAGTGTAATTCACCTCTTCTTGTTGCATCTCCAGTCCACAGTCAGAACATTGCACAGGGAACTTCCTACAGTTCTTGATATGCAGCTACAAGTGGCAAAATAGATTCAACAAAAACTGTCAGATTAGCAATTCACAGGATACAGTATGTTGCTCAGTATCCGGACGGAACCAGTATCCGGACACTTGAAACAAAAACTCAATTTTTGAGGCGCCCTTTTCAGTTCTCGGTAAACGAAGTATTTCAAATTAAAGCTGAACATTTCAACTTTAAGATGAAAGTTTTGGCGATTTAAAAGCTTTCGAAACAGTCGCAGAAGACACCGTTCTGTTCAGGTGAGTAAACTTTTCATGGCTAATATTTACGCTGTTTACTGCGCAGTAAAATTAGTGCTGCTCAGAAAAGGGAGGGTAATGTGTGATATTTTCAAAAAAACTGTTTTATTTTTAAAGTGAAGACACTTAAGGAATTCAGATTTCAGAAAGTTTATTAATTCTTCTTGAAATTCGATTTGTTTGGAATAACGGAGGCCAGAAACATTCACTAAGTTTTGATGTCATGTGCCCAGTATCCGGACAGTTTTTTCTTTGCTGTACAGAATCGATGAATTAGCTGTGTAAATTATCCGGATAAGATTTATTTCATATCAGTAACTATAATTAAAGCTTAGGATATATGATATAGTCGTAAAATGTAATTCTACTCAACTCCGTATGGAAATTTTCTCCACTCATTCAGAGGCGAGTTGATTTCGTATGCACGGCTTGTTTCGAGTGACTGCATTTTCTATATATAACTGAAAGCGTCTGAGTTGAACCTGGAATTCTCATACTTTCCCCAGTTGTGACTGCAAGAATGGGGTTGCAACGGTCTGAAAAATGTCACAAAGGGATTGAGAGATTTGAAAGAAGGAGCAATTAGTGTTAGAAAAGCAGGCTTATTGTGGGGACTGATCATGAGCATGAAGAAATCAACACTGCAGGTCAGACTAAATAGGAGAGTGACCTTTGACGGTCGGTTGAGGTCCCTTCCCCAAGCTTTTTTTTTTTTAAATAAAAAATGAAGAAAGAAAGTCGCTTGCAGATTGGCTAATTGAGCTTGCAAACGGCGGTTTCGGCATGTCGACGGATGCCTTCCTTAAATCAGTGAAATAGTTCCTAGACAAGGAAGTAAGAATTATTCCATTTTTAAAACAGCCGCTCGCGTTCCTCACCATACCCCAGTCATTTGTTATGTTTTATTTCACGATGCTAGGTCATATTTTTGGAATCGATTGCCAGACTACTTTGCAAGTGCAAGAGAACCTTATAAGTCGCTTGCCTCTCGAAATTTATGTACAATTACGTTGTTATTGTTGTGTCCGGATACTGGGCCAGCTGTCCGGATACTGGGCAACATAGGAGCTCTGCAAAAATATTAATTTCGCCATGGAAACAAAAGCAAAAAAGTTAAACTGTCTTTCGTCATATTAAGGACTAGATAGATATTCTCTGTGCCAAATTTCAGAGCTCCTGCGATTAACAAAGGAAAGTTATTGCAATCTTAAACTGAAGTGTCCGGATACTGGGCAACATACTGTATGTACAGACATCAAAGAATTGGCATGAATTAGATGGCTATTGTTAGTTGAAAAGCAAATAATAATCTTAAGGGCAGGCGGACAGATTTGCCGGCATGACTACCAATTCTTGGATGGAAATAGATATTACTTGTGGCACTAAGATCCATGCGCTTCGAGCGGGAGCTCCGCTATTATTTGTCACTTGATTGTTTAAAACTATATTTGAGAGGTTAATTACCACGTTTACGTCAAATGTCAAACGCGAATTTGTACCACGTGACCAAGGTTCGCCATTACTTGTTGTTTACTGTTCATTATTTCTTCTCATAGATTAGTAGTTTCACGCAATTTTTTATCCATAAGAATTGTTTTGAGCTGTTTTTATCTGCTCATTTTCTATTTTGAGAAATTCTCAACTGGAATCTGACGCTTGCCGTTTGCACTATACGTGAAGCCTTTGAAAACGTCTTATCGTTATGTAGCTGGATTTTTTTCCCAACAGCGCGCTCTCTGGGCAGGCAACATTGCAAAGTCTATGACGTCAGAGGGTGACAATACACTATTACCTGCGAATGTTGACCACTCGCGAGATTTATTCTCATAAATTTGTACATGAAAAAGTTTTTTTCTTCGTGGGCTATATAACAAATCACTTTAAGACTGGTCCCGAGGGAAACACTTATATTTAATTGAGATTCTTGGGAAACAAAATTACCTGTTTCCCTCGTGACCAGTCATTAAGTGTTCATTACTTCAACCCATTCACCCCTGAACCGACCGTAAAACCACCTGTGCGGATCCGTGTGAAAGTTAAAGTTAACTTTGATATCTTATGTGTGCAAGGGGAAGAGATCTTTCAACCCAAACCTAAATAACCACGATTCAGTCAAACCGTACGGTCCAGAGAAAAACGCAAAAAACCCGTAAATTACAATGAAAATTCTGTTCCACTACCCATCTGCACTTCTTTCCATCTAATCCTACGGTCCTAAACGTTTTCCCCCACGACTTTACTCACCGAAATGAAGACTAGTAATAATGCCCAGCAAAAGAAAAAGAGAGAGAGGATGAGACATTGTGAAATTTTACTTTTTGGGAAATATGCCCCAAATTTGGGAAGCTGGTATTAAAAATCTGGGACAGAAAGTATCCTGTGCCCTCCCCCCCCCTCCCCCCAACCTCCCACAGGAAAAATCGGAGAGGGGAAGGGGATCCGTGCACAGGCTAACTGAAAGCCGTGAAGTGCTTAACTAATAAAACAATGTCACGGGCAGTTTCGGTTCATTTTGGCCATACAGAGACCAGAAAACATCTTGACAATAAGCTTCAAAAGACGTTTATCCGCAAAATTTCCAGGAGCGAATGGCTTAATTAATTATGACTTTTATTGTTAAAAAAGGATTTGCATTTTAATCACACGTAAATAACGACTTTTTTGAAGCAGTAGTGATCCATAGTCCTAGTAAAAGTGCTAGCACTAGTAGCAGGTAGTGGTAGTGGTAGTGGTAAATTAGAACTTAGAAAAAAAGATAGAGATTCCTCTAATACTGGGAGGGTACCGCTCAGCGGTTACAGCCTGTGCAGATGTGAAGGCACCTTAAGGGGGGGGGGGGGGGTCTGCTGTAATGATTGAAGAATGTGGTTGTTTACCTCCATTTGACAGTCTGGATAGAGTTCACAGCAGTGATCGCAATGCACAGTCCTCCACTGACATTTCTTGGTTGCATGATCTTCAAGATCTTTCCTTGATACTTTCATTTCACAGTTTCCATTGGAACAGGAAATGAGCATAAAATTGCATGAAGCCAAGTGAATCTGGAAAAAGATATGAGGCACATTTTTTATATGCCTTGGGTGTGGATAAAATGCATTTTGTTGCCTTTTATATTATTGCAACTAGTTGCCATGTCATCAGTGCATTCTAGGCTGTCACATGTATTTTATTTAATGTATTACATGTAACTCACAGAATCGAAAGATACCCGTCTAATCATGCAGGTTTCTAGAAGAGCTAGTTGACAGCTGTGTTGCCTAACCCCTAATGCAGAAGATAATCCCCTTTCTCCTCCCATGAGAATGTTTTTTCAAAATAATGAAATAGCTGGCAGGGGCTACCCGCTGGGAAAAAGGTCTGTTCCTGCCCAGTATTAAAATCCTCCAGTACATAGTTAATAGTCTAAGCCTCTATTCACCTCTTTGTTTCTCAGTTCACCAGTCCAGTCACAACCCTCACTTGGACACTTGATTGCCAAGGAAAGAATCTTCCGTTCCGTAGCTTTATCAGCGAAAACATCCTACAAGTGAAGCATTGCACACTAACTGTCCTTGCAATTTCAAGACTTTTCCCAAAACAATAATTTCTTTTTCCAGATGCATGGTTATTAAATAAGCAATATTAATATTGATAGCATTGAAACCTTCACAAATTCAGAAAACCAAACACTTCCTCAGACTACAGTGCAATGCAGCCACAAAAGAGTTCTGTAACTTCTCATTTTGCAATATTTGAATGTTTTGGCTACAGATGAGATTAAATTAACAATTAATGAAATGAGGCTGAGTATCTTATGAAGAATTATGGAGATTGAGGAGGTTGTCATCCGTCGTAGGCCAAGGTGGATAACAGCCTCCGAGATCTCCATAATTCTTCATATGATACGAAAGCCGAGTTCAATAATTGTTTTATTATTCATTCAAAATAATTCCTAGTTTAAAAACATGGCTAAAACATGCTCACCTCCATCAATCCATCGATGTTAAGTTCATCTTCGATAGTGCACGTTTAGGGATGTTCAGCTCCGCAAATATTCTCCAAATAGCAGATGTCGCCCTTCGAGTTGTCTTCTTGCCGTTCTTGCCATGTTTTTAGCAATTTTTTCACCTAGTTCTTACTCTTGAAATGAGTGAAATGTCCACCATTTTTCAAGTTCACAACCAAAACAACTCAACCTCGTCCCCAGGTCTTCTCGGTTAATGGTGCATTAACCTGCAAGAACGCTGCATTTTTGACGTCATTTGCTTGCTAAACACAAAATTCTTCCAAATTTGGTCTTCAGTAACTGGTTATGGTGAATTAAACGTGTGCTGTTAGCCAATCGGAATCGGGGAAATATTTTGAATGAATAATAATAAGTTTTAAATACCAGAAAGAAACTTCTGGCAGTTTTGAAAGAAAAAACATACAGACTACTACAGAGACTTTCTCTGGTGCTGAAAATACCCTTCTTTTAAAAACGAACTTTTCACATTAACATTTCCACACCAAAGCTGACGAAGTAACAATACCACAAGTCACCTACCTTATCTCGTATCAGGGTGTTTCGGTCTACTGGACAATTTAACAATTCATTGTTCACCTCCAACCTGTGCAAATCAGTTACAAGAGAGTATAATGGCTAATGAAGCAATATTTCATATGAGACTTCAAGGATTGCATTTAAACTTGCCAGAAGACCTCAGTAGAGGATACGATAGTACCCCAAGAGAGGGACCTGTTCATATGCTGTACAATGTTTGCATTTCACTGTGGGTGTCTTGATTTGAGTAGGGATATTTGGGGGGTATTCAAACCATCTGAATATTTGTGGAATTTCCCGTTTTCTCACCCCTGCAGTTCTGCGTTGCATTAGCACAACCAAACTTGTTTTGCGGTTGTTTAAAAAATTAACACATTCAATTATTATACTACACACTCAACATTCCATAAAACAGGTCCCATCCCCTTTTTCCTTGTTTAGTGTCGTTTGACCAACCCAAATTTTTGCATTTTCAAATAAAATTATAATAATAACGCCTTTAATTGATTGTTTAAATCAGAACATGCAATGAGCATTGTAACAGCATTTCACAAAATTATTAACAATTATTCCTTGAGCCCAAATGGGCCCTGAGTCAATAGCCCATGAAGGCCGAAGGCCGAATGGGCTATTGACTCGAGAGGCCATAAGGGCGAGAGGAATAATTGTTTTAGGAAAATCCAACTAGTTGGTCAAAAATATCGCGACAAAACAACTTTAGCTAGCTAAAGCTACACTTTAATCATTTTTTGCCCACCAAATTGCTGGCGCTTTTCACTACTAGTGGGCTATAACATATAGCCTAGTAGCAGCTCAACCAATCAGAACACAGCATTGATAATAGAGCACTAGTTGGATTTTAATAAATAATAATAGAAGTGTCGCTGGGCAGTGTATCCTTTTTGCCATGTTTTACTTTTGCTATGACATCAAACATCACATTTACTTGCGGGGGAGGTACTGGGCCTCAAGGGGATGGCCTTATTCATCCTCCGAAAAGTATGCTGACGTGTATCCATCAAGGCTTTATATTTCATTAAGCTCATTGTGTTCATTTTCATGATTTTGTCATTTTTATACTACTACTACCAGAATCCCTCAGGGTTTTGCTTTCTTGTGCAAATAAGTGACAGCCAAGCAACCCAAATGTTTGCATTTTCGAAAAATAATAAAAATAATTCCTTCAATTACAATGCTCATTTTTGAGATAACAAGAATTAATTATTAATTCTTGTTATCTCAAAAATGAGCATTGTAATGACATTTCATAACAACATATAGTAGTGTTGGCAGTGTATCTTTTGATTGTACTATGACAATCGACTACAAGTATCACATTTCTGCCATTTGCTTTTTTGTCTTCTTGTTTCACAGCTCCACAATGATGCTAATGATGCTAGGGTACCGGACCTCAAGCTAAGGGGATGGCCTTATTCATACATGTAAGTGTCCCATCCAAGATTCATCCCGCCAAGATTCTGGTCAGAGGAATATTTCGTATACGAGATATCCGAAGAAATGTTTTACCCAAACTTGTAGAGATTTGTATGGTGTCGCCATGCTGGTGCTCACCTGGACGAGCTCCAACATAGTGGACGGAAACCAACAGAAACATCTCTTACCAAGTTTTGCTACAAAAGCGTGAATTTATTCCTCGAGAAACTCATAAACATTAAAGTAATACTTTTTCTAATACATGAACTGTTTAGATAGCAAAATTTCCTGAAATAAGTCATTTTTTTAATCTACATGACAGCTCTCTTGGCCGTATGTAAATGCCGCGTAACGCAAAAGCTTAGAAATTCAAGCGTACTCTATCACAAAACCAAGAACCCTTTTCAAGCGTAAATTTGTATGAAAATTAGTTTTCAGCTGCTCTAATGCATCGTAAAAGTAAAATCTCCATAGGATCGATAGTTTTTTAGTTTGATTTTTAAGTGACGTCATGTGAAAACCCTGAAATGAATTCTCAGGCTCGAAAATTCGGCACGGAATTTTTGGGGGGATAAAATTTGGTCCAGGTGTTTTGTTAGGGTTTTTTGAAGCCCTGGGGATTTTAAAACTTGGGTTTTGAGTTTTGCCTCCGTTGGATCATCCCCGTCACTAATGACACCGCATGATCACGGGGCAAGCGCCAGAGGGAAATCAAAATAAGCTTAAATGGTTGCAGGTGACAAAATTTACTCTGTTCCAATACAATAATAGCAAATAATTTTGATCAAAGTGGGTACTAGATGGTATTTAATACTCAGAAATTGCTTACCTTTTGAAGTGTTCATCAAGACACTTCTTGCAACATCTGTGGCCACACTTAGTCAGCATTGGATCCTTCAAAGGTAGATGACAGATTGTACACTGTAAATCGTCTTCGACGGCATTTATAAATTCTTCATCGTACCCACCAAGCGACAGTCCGACTTCTTGAGCTTCCGATTCCGCCATATTTATAATATAAAAACCATCACATTTGTTTTTTTCATGAGACGAAGATACTGGAAGATACCTAAGGATCACGGTGATTTGCGAGCGATTTGCGGGGGGGAATCATGTGACCCCTGGATCTCAATCATTCTTTCCTCATGCAAAAACTTCACCCAACATCTTCCTGGCGTGTGAAGGGCGGCCAGGACTAGACCATGGGTTATCGCCCAGGTTTTGTTCCAACCTGTCGGCACTGGCAGGGGGCGGATCCAAAAAATTCAGAAAGCCGGTGGCCGGGAAACATGCCAGAATTCTATAAAAATAATTTTCAAACTTCCAAAGAAAAAGGGTTGGCCACGCCCCCCTCGGCCCACCTAAAATCCGCCCTTGGGCAGAGCCTTTCCGTCGCTCGCTCACTACAAGGAGACTCTGCTCTCTGAGTGGCTGGACCATCTCGTAGAGGAAAGAAACGGCTGTTGCAATGACATGTGACAAATTATATTAAATAAGCGTAGCAAATCTCGTTCAACTCCCGGGATAAACTGTACTCAAAAAGGTTTCTTCGCAACAAATAGGAAATTAAAGTTGCCTTCTCTGGATTCCTTCTCTGAAGTGTATGACTATACACGGGTATGCGCCGGAATAAATTGTAATTGACCGTAGTCATACAAACTACTGTTTCATTTATCTCTTGTCGTGTGTGTGTTTGAGAAAATAGGTGTCGTGTCTAATCCTCAAAAACGTGTCTTGTTTTATAGCAAACAAGAGCTGAAACGGGTCTCATGAGTTTCAGTAACAAGTCTCCTTTCCGGCGGCCATGATTCAAAGTAGCTAAGGCTAGAGTCCTTATCTCATAAGTGTTTCTCTTGCGTTTCCCGGAAACGATAAGTGAACCAAACACATCAACTTTTTCGAAGAGAATTTATTGCAACCAGTTCATAATCTCCGAGTGAGGATACTAGAGCAAACAATAAATATCCGAAATATAAAGAGGTCTTAGGCCCAGTTTATGCAGACGGGGAAATAGGTTCGTCAACGAAAAGGAAAGGGTGTTCCTCTCTGAGAGAGGCAATCATGCATGTGAATACAAACGAAGCCTAGGACAATTCTCGGTTTTTATTATTCATCCAAAATATTTCTCCTTTTCTGATTGGCTCAAATCCTTGAAGCTAAATCTTTATAACCAGCTAGCGCTTACCAAATTTGGAAAAGGTTTTCAATATCCTGTTAAATGATGTCAATAGTGCAGGATGTCGACAGAAAAAGGTACAGCAACCGAGAAGCATGGGGACGAGGTTACGTTAGGTTAGCTACTTTGGTAAAGCAGGGGGTTACCGATAGAAAATTGAAGTTGTCTTCTCTGAATTACGTCCGCCATGTTCAACGGAAGCAGCGAATGACAGCATGCAGGATGGAAAATGCGTCGGCAAACGGAGGCAAACGCGGACACTAACATCAAGCGCGCGTTGAACATTGCCCATTGACGAGAAAAAGTCTAGTACCCAGGCCATCCGCTTTCCTCGATTTCCAAAGCGACTACACAGCAGAAGTAGTGAGCCTGCCAGGTTAATTCATTTCCATTTCCAGTGGTACTGAGAAGAAGAATTATACGACACTTGGTTTTCCTTTATTCTCATGACTTCGGTTTGAAAAAAGTCAGTATAAATTTGAGGAACCCAGGCTACAGAGGCAGCCATCAATCTTAGCAGGGGTCTCAGGGTGCCCAGTGTGAGGTGGAAGGGGCCGGGGGTGCTCCTTGCGGCTTCCATGAGTTTTAAAAGCATTTGTTGCAAAGAGGATTTCGTTCCCTTTCCCCTTTGAAAGACTATTATGTTACCCAAAAGGCATCAAGGAGTTTCGTAGCGAGTTGACATTCTTTATTTATTCAACTATATTTATCCAGGAGCCCATATCCTCCTGACTTATCTGAATTCCACATAAGTTGTTTAATCAGCAAACAGACCAAATAGCTAGCGAGCTAATCCACGCAGGAAAGGGAAAAAGGAACAAAACTTGATAAACACACGTTCTGGCAATTTACGACATGTAAATATCATAGTATTAAAGAAAATTAAATATTCAGAAGTCACAATAAATATAACTACGATTGCTACAAAGCGATAAGATAAAAGAAGATAATTAAGTAACAAGCTCCATATGACTATTTTAGTATTTATCTTTAGATCGATAAGTAAGTTTTGTTTGAAAGTGGCATAGTCGCCGTAATCGTCACTTCTGTCCAGGATTGCACTCTGCCCAAAAAATTTTCTAGCAAATCTTTTGTTCGCAATTTTGGCAAAACAAAGGTGAAAAGGAAACTCTGCTTGCAGAAATGTGTAGAAGCAATCGTTTATTACAAAGTAAACCGAAAAATTTGCAATTCAAAATACCGGTACAATGAGGTTTCAGAAATGCACTGAAACAAAACATCAGCAAGTCTTATACATTGCTGTTGAACGCGGTTCACAATTAGTACGCCGCAAATTTAAATACTCCACTAAAGTGTGTCATGGTACCTACGAACAGTTTATTTTAGTGTCTAAGTCTATAAATCAATACTTCTACTAATTTTCTTTGTAATTCAAATAAACGGTACGTTGACTCGGGAAAACTTTACGCAAAAATCCAAAGACGGATTTGACCAAAATTTTCACTTAACAGCTCCACTCTCTACAGCAATACAAATCCGTGTAGTTTTGGGATTTATTTCTCATATTTAATTAAGAAATCGAAAATACGGTTTTACATCTACATTTAAATTTCGCAATGCAATCGACAAGAATTGAGCGCACCCTTGGCTAATTTTTGATAGATGAATTTTTTGGTGGTAGTATCAAAGCTTTGTAGAGTCTCAAGAACTTTGGTCAAGGCGTTGGTGGACTCACAACCACTTGAAGATACAAAGTGTCATCCGCAATATATCGCCTACTCTTGAGTTTTTCATGCGACACAAACCTTGCGTAACCTCGACCTGGATTCTCATCTGAAGTAGGCCTGGAAAAATTCTCTAGTTTAGCGTTTGCTTTAAAGTGCATCACGATATTCTCGCGTTCTTCTGCGCTATCCTGTTGGTCTACAAGTATAAAAGTGACCTTCTGATTAAATGGCCAGTACAGCATGCCATCATAGTCTCCTTTCATAACGATTACAAATACAGATAAATGTGTGTTCTTTCCAGAACCATCGCCATTAGGATTTACAGACATTTTGAGTTTATATCCGTATGTTTCGGTGTAAAATGGTTTACTGTCAAGTTTGTTGTTTCTCCCATGTTTGGCCTGACGTAGAATTTCACTGAATCCACTGATCTTCCACACGTAAGTTGGAGAGTCAGTCCGAGTTTTCGATATTGCTGAAACCTTGAGAAGTAGCGAGTCGTTTTCTTTCTTCAGTTCCTCAAGCTGTTTACTGAGGCTTGTCTTTTCTTTATCAAACTCTTTATGAAGAGTAACAATCTTCTTGCACGCTAGGCTGAGATGTGAAACAGTTTGGTCATGAATATGTCTTTCTATGTCCCGCCTTTCCACCTTGGGAGAAAAAAAATTCACTTTTTATCGAGTTGTAGATTAAAAATTAAGGGCTACTGTCACGAGAATCAGTTTCAGTTTTAGGTCAGTTCTGATCCTAATTTCGTCTTCCTGTGGCACTGCAGAAAATTTCGAGCTATCACGGGCGACTGCAAATTATCCGCCCCTCTTAATTTTATCAGGGGCACCTTGGCTGGGAAACTGGACTCCTTTCGACTCCATTCCGTTTCCGTTATTAGGCTGATTTAGCAACAAAACGGGAACGTCAGTTGAAGACGGCACGCGCAAATCAAACAACTGGCTTGACCAATGGCAGAGCGGCAAATTGAGCACCGGAAGTCGTATTTAGCCCTTTCCGCGCGCTTTCCCGTCGTCAACTGACGTTCCCGTCCTGTTGCTAAATCAGCCTATTTTTCCGTGAGTGACGAACGAGGATCCCTAATCAAAGACTACCTCTACTACTTAGTGCCTTACCTCATCTACAGAATACTAATGTAGAGTTAAAAAGAAGATACCACACAAATTTCATCAGGAAGCACTAACCATAATATTTGTTTTGATAAATTTTTCAGGCATAGTATCAAAACTTGAAAAAGTTAGACAAACTATTTCAAGTTTCAATCCACGTCCATCCTTGTCATCCATTACAACAGAAGACAGGAAACAGTTTCAATGCCTAAACATGGTTTCAAAGAACAGAACTGGATCATTATTTTTAGAATTCACTTGATACGAAAAACGTGTCAGCTTCTTTAAAAAAAAGATGCAAATTGCGTGACAATGACCAGAGCTATAGGAGACCTTGAACTCCATACAACTGGGCAAATAACCCCAAAATACCCGGCGCCTTTTGAAAGAATTTAGCAAACGGCCGAGCAGTCATATCATCTCCACACCTATTTCTTTGTTACGTTTTAAGAACAACAGGTTAGCGCGTTGGCGTGTTGCTTTTCAAGAGTACGCAGCTACGCCATGCTTCGCAGAGGTGACAGGAAACTTCGAATCTCTTAGGTGTAAAACGAAACACTCTGCGAGCAGAGGTTTCTTTCAGGCTTGGCTCATTTTTCGCTGAATCACAGGCTAGATAGCAGGCTGCGTGATAATCAACTCATAAAACATTTATGAGGTTTGATTCACGCACAAAAATTGTCGCCTGCAGGCCGGCTTTCTTGTGGAAGTGCACCAGCTTTAGTTACCACAAGAGTTGTGTGCCTTAGGAGAAGCCACGAGACTAGCTACAGGCATTAAGATTTCATGTGTGAGAGCTGTTATAGCCTGTTCCAGGCTCCGAGATAGTCGGGCCCGCTGAATTGAGAAAGCGCAAAGACGAAAAGAAGACGGGAGGAGCTGTTATAGAGTTATTGCCAACAAAGAGCTTGAAACACTGTCTGAAATAACAATAAGGACAAACAAAAAAATCACAGTACTTACCTTGGCAGTGCAACCCAGCTCATGATAAGGACATGCGAGAGGTGTCAGAAGACAATCTGTTTCCAAATGGTGAGGCATCTGAAATGTACATAGTATATTATGTTATTCAACCCTCAGTCCCGGGGGGAGGGTACTCTCTATGATGGGAGGCTCTACCTGAAAGGGGTATCTTTTTCACGCTTCATATGAAAGGGTAGAGATTTCACCTGTTGAAGTATTTAAAAGGGTACAAAAATCTGTCATTTGGGTCTGTGAAAAGGCCCAGAAGGGCTGACGGATGAATTTTATGGCTTTATAAAGTCAAGAAAAAGTTATATTTTTGTGATTGATTCCTATTTAAAAGACAGAACATTTACAGCAGTTTAAAGGGATGCAACGTTCTAAACAAGGTACGAGAAAGGGCTACCATTTGTCAATACAAGGTATACGAAAGGGGTACCTTTTTCGTAAAAAATGGTATATAAAAGGGTAAGGGGTTGGACCTCCGGGTGGAGCTTCTCCGTATAAACATTTGTTGAGTACCAGCCGGGTCGTCAGTTGCTTATTTCTTTCATAATTATAACTTTGTTATATGGCACAAGATGACATTACATGCTCAGTTTTAAATTAACTAAAATTGAAGATCTCTACATTGAAGGTAAAACCTTTTGCTTCCTGTTCACTAGAGTCTTGATTACCAATCCTTAAGTTTTTGGAACTTTTAATCTTAGTTTGCACTTTTTAGATCAAGTTAATATTTGACAACAAAAAGGGAACTGTGTGCTGGCACAGTTAGCGAGTATACCTAAATGAACATGGTACAATGTACAAGTTTGAGCATTTTCTGAAGTTGAAATCTTTATTTAAGTTTAATTTAAAAACTTAAGTGACTTCTGCCAAATCTGCTCAGTGTTAAAATATTAATTTACAGGAAAACTTGTGAATAGAACATTCCAGAAAACATCCATACTGACCTGCATCCTTGGAATAACCTGTGTACAGCCATTGATACAATTGAGAGGGTAGAAAGCACAGCTTTCATTGTGTGCCTGAAAAGATTCAGTAACAAAATAATAATATTATATAAAGAAAGGTTAGTGTACACCAAATGGAGGGCAACCTTTTCAATGTTGGCGACAGGACTGGTAGCACTGTGCTTAACTTTTGGCAAAATAAAGTTTACTAAGAAAGTTAACTAAAAAGGAAATCAAACTTCTTCCATCAATGTAGCAAATTCTCTGTAAAAAATTCTCTAAAATCTGCAAAAGATTGAGCTCCTATCCCCTTAAAATTATACTAATTGAGAAGCGTTCTCCAAAGTTCAATGTTTTCTTGCTCAATTCAGAGCCTTAGCTTCAATATTTTTTGTACAATCCTGGCAGTTCACGCAATGCCACTTTCTGCAGATATCCTGTCCATACAGTCACTCCTAATTGCTGAAGACTCCTTTATACATTCTTTTTCACCAAAGCTCCATTGCTACTACATGAGTGGGTGTAGCAGTTATACTTCACAGCCAAGCAAATGCTAATTATTATAATAATCATCATCTTATTATTATTATTATTATTACTATATTATTATCATTATCATTTTTGCTACTATTGACATTGAAAACATAATGCCAATGGTAAAGATAATGGTTATTTTCATTATTAAATAATCCAAAGGCTGAACAAATTGATCAAGTCAGAAGAAACCCATTACTTACAAGCTCCTGTGATTTTGGATGATTCTCATTACAAAATGGACAGCAAACAATTCTCCAAGGACAGGAAGTCATCAAATGTTCTTCTATCAGTCTTCTGGCTAGTTTAACAGTGCAGTTCTGACTTGGACACTCAACAACTTTGTCAGGACACCTCTCTTCGTGATTCTGAAGTATTAAAGATTTTAGAAATGAATACTTGTAAAAGACTAGAGTATGGACAAAATAATGATGATAATTTGTTGTTGTTTTATCTAAATGTTTGAGAATATGTATCATAAGGTACATTCAACTGATCATATAACGGAATGAAAATGCACAAAAGTTTTGTTGTAAATCTCTGGAACCGTGAGCCACTGAAATACTACATAAACTGGCGTATTTCATTTCAAGCAGATTTCTATTTGCAAAGTAATTAATGCCAAAATGAGTGTTTTACAGTGTTTATTGGAACATGCCTGTAACAAAAAAGTTAAAAAAGAAAAATTATGAAATTCCAGTTATAAGCATTGGGGAAAGATTCACAAGGCCACTTCAGTCATCTTTTCTCAAGGCTATTGATAAGAAACAACACTCACAATGTAAGAGGCTAATGGGGATATGCTGCTGGATAGGGTCACATTTTGACGACGGGATTGACTATAATGGGGTCACATTTTCAGTAATGTTACTAGAATGGGGTTGCACTTTTTCTGATTTTTGGGGTAAGAAAGTTCTTCATATTTACTGTTAGCAAATGTACCAGAATGTTTGTACTGTAGGTGAAAAGTAAAGTCTTCTTCATTCAACTTAAAAAATGGGTCAATTCATTTTAGGATAACCTATTTATGTATCTACCCCATCAATCCTTTAAATTAGAAACTGAATAAGTTGGGATCGCAAAAATGACATAATTGCCCAAAAGTTAATAAAATGGGGTCAATAATTAGCCACAGAATAGACTATAATGGCGTAGGGGCCCTGAGAGGCTAGCAGCACATTCCCAGCAAAAATTAATCCAAGTCCCCCCCCACCTCCTTCCGAGGCATCTGGGGGAAGTCTGGAGCCATGTGATTTGACAATGAAATTGTGTTTGTGTGGTGTTTGAGAATGTAGTGATGAGCTAATATAAGTAGTTCTCGCGTTTATGGCCTCAGTGGCCAATTAGAAATAGAAATATAACGTTATTGTAACTAAAAAGATTAATTGTGAATCCAGTCCAGAGATAAACGTAACTTTACCTGTACTTCACGGAGCTCTCCCATCCACTGGCATCCAGGACAAGGACATCTGACTACATAGGATAGAATTCTTCTTTCACTTGCTTTATCAGGGAAGATATCCTGATAGAAAAAAAAAATACCATGAGGAACTGAACAGGGGAAACAGCACATGCTTGTGCAAACAAACAGACCTTTCCTACATTCCTGGAAACAAAGGTAGCAACTCAAGGCTTGGGTGGACAATATACAGCGATTTGTATGAAGTTGTCCACCCAAACTTCAACCTCATTTTTCTTTATGTTTCCTCACTTGAGCTGAATGCTAGAAAGGTCCATTATGTAAGTTTTGAAGTACCCAAA